AAAACACTAGTTCGGGAAAACCCCATTTCCCAAAACCCATAAGTTTACTTCCATTGAAAGCAATCCTCCAGTACGGCAGTACCAAACATAAAGAAAAGAATTAGAAGATTAAAACGGAAGAACTTACAAACCTAAGGAGTAAATGGCTGAATTGGAACACTTGAAGCCCTGAACCGGTATACTGCTATAGAATACAGAGCTGCTGCCTGAGATCGGCTCTTCTCCTCGCTCGGCGGATTTTGTTGGTTCAAATTGGAAGATTGAAAGTCAAAGGAAGATGGGGAGAATTGAGAGGGGTGGGTCTGAGTTTGAGAAGCAATGTGGTCTGCGCCTGGGCTCTGTGGATTGAATCGTTGAGGTATATGTGAGTATTTAACTCAATGGAGAGATTGAATTGAAGCCTGGAAAGACGAAAGGAGTGTTTGAAATTCTCCCAATTTCCAACGCGGCTACGCCTGGATAGTAGGGATGAAATTGATTAAGAGTTAATTAAAATGGTTGTTAAGAACGATGATTAGGTGGGAAGTTGAAAAAATCTGGTCAAGTATGAGTTAATGAAGTTTTGAGAAAGGGGAGACGGAGGCCCACTCGGCGTCGGCCAGCCATGATTTAGGGTTTATTGTACATGCATATATATAATAATGGGCCTATTATGAGGCCCCCAAATATTTGAGGCCCTGTGCTGTGGGTCTGACCAGCACAGGGCATGGGCCGGGCCTGGTCACGATGTTCCAGTTCCTGAAAGTGTCAGGGAAACAGTATGGAGAAACGGATTGAAAGCGTGATTTGATCACTCTCCTTAGAGTGTTATTTGCCTCCACTACTTCGTTGCTGGTAGGAATTAGGCAAACCACCCCCAGGAGTCCCTTCAACCAAAGTCCGAAAGCAGCAACCTTTCTGACTTCTGTGTTTGTGTTTTTGGAGAAGGAAAAACGAGGAGAAGAAGATGAACGTTAGAACTCAACCTTCTGGCCAACGTCTCTTATAAGATTTGAGAAACGGCAGTTCCCTTCTCACTCAAGGGTTGCGTCGTTTCACAAAACTTAAATCCAATTAATTCCGAAAATTAATTAAATAGCCAAAAAATCAATATGTCAAACAAAATAGCCCACACTTTTCCAAAAGCCCACTAACCACTTTATCCAATGACTAAAGTGGAAGGCAAACTTAAAAACAACTTGCACTTTCCTTCTCCCACCAATGTGGTATTTCCTTTACTCTTTGACTATTCTAACAGAAAGCAATCACGATGAAGCTGAAACGGGAGGAGGAGGAGTCACACGCCTTGTTAACGCTACGCACAATAGCCCCTATCTGAATTTGAATAATATTGGTCGTGATGATGAGCTCGACAAACTGCAAGCCGCCGACAATGCTTCTTCTTCTTCTTCCTCGTCGTCGTTGTCGTCCTCGTTGTCATGTGCAAGGTCTCTCTCCCGCCTGCCGCTGGCATCTCGTTACCAGTATCCTTTCGCTGCTCTGGGTGCTCTGCAGGCTCAAAGCAACACCGTCGCTGCTTGAAGGTAAATTAATTAGTTTCATCATCATTGCTACTTGTACACAACCACCACTTGAATCTTTTGGTTTTCTCTGTTATATCTATATCTATGTAACTAACGCAAATAAAATATTGGATTTGGTACATATGTATCTATGTAGGTAACAAATCTTCGAGTCGGAGGACTTCATAGTCAAGTGAAAGTCCGTATTGTTGACGAACCTGTCATGAACCAGTTGCTCCCAATAACTCGAGTTGTTGGGAGAAGGTTATGCTGGATCTTATACCACTCTCTAACACGCCCCCTCAAACGAAAGCCAACCCACGGGCTTGAAGTTTGCACAGGCCCACCATACCATGTGCTTGAAAGACAACGGTTAATATTGGGGGTCGTGGAGATTCGAACACATGACCTTTCGGTTCTAGGCTCTGATACCATGTCATGAACCAGTTGCTCCCAATAACTCGAGTTGTTGGGAGAAGGTTATGTTGGATCAAAATTAGTTGGGTTGGGCTTTGTGTGTCCTTTAAGCCTGTTATTGAGGTCTAGGATTCGTTACGTTTGTTAGATAGTTTTTAGTCCAAATAATTCAATTTACTTGGTCAATGTTTACGTTAGAGAGAGGTCTGTTAGCTGCTGCTGAATTTTAGGATAGTGGGATAGAGGATCAGCTGTTGGTTGGTGGTGAGAGGTGAGTATGAGGGAAACTGATTGTATTTAATCATTTTGTTGGTCTTTCAATAAAGTTTGGTCAGTTTGCCCATTTTTGAGCTTTCAGAACCTAGCAACGAGGGTCTTGAATTGGATCTCAATACTTTCAAGCAACTTGACACCGATGGACGTGGAATTACTGAAGGCCGCCTTTTGGTGAAGTATCAATTCGAGAGTTGTTGAAAGCCATACATATGCGTGTTTGTGAGGAATAATATACAACTACTCATAAAATAAAGATCAATAATTAATGTCGAGTATCTAAATTTACAGTTTATCTTGTCTAATTATTATACTCTCAATAAATCCAAGAACGTAATACATACATCAATGTATGATGAATACGGTTTAAGTGACCAATATATTTAGCTTTCTTCACTACTCCTCATCTCATTAGATGAATTTTTCTAGTTTTACTAAGTATGTTGTAGAAATATTGAAAACTCAAGCAAATGATTTCCTCCAAAATTCCTCCTTTTCTTTTTCAATTGTTATACACTTGAAAGTTAAAATAGTTTCGAGACTAACAAACTGATAACACTAAAAGCCAACCGTTTACCATAAATCTGGGTCCAAGAAAGATGATCAAACACGTTTTACCTAGGGCTATTAATGAATCAAGCTGGGTCTCGAACAAGCTCGTTAATTAAACGAATCAAACTCGAGTCATACCTAGGGATGGCAATTTTGCCCATACCCATGGATATTTTACTATCCAACCCAATTGGGTTGGGTATGAAATCCAAATATATGGATATGAGTATAGTTTGATGGGTTTGTACCCATACCCATTTACTTTGGGTTGGGTTTATATCAAATGGATTTGGGTTTGTACCCATGCCCAAATACAAATTACAGTTTGGTACCTAAACTTAATAGATATGCATATTTAGTACCTAAATTTAATTTTCTTTGCATATAAGTCCTCAAAATATCGATGGAAAATTACATTTTGGTACCTAAATTTTTTGTCTTACATTTTGGTACCTAAATTTTTCAAGTTTTGCAAATAGGTCCAATTTTTACATGTGTAGTTAAAACACCCTCAAGTAAATGGATATCCATATCCAACCCATACCCATTTAGATAATATCCATATCTAACTCAAACCCATATACAAACCCCAAACCCATACACACATCACCCAAACCCTACCCATAATAAATGGGTCTACTTGGGTTTGGGCAAAATTACCCATGGGTGGGTAAATTGCCATCCCTAGTCATACCATGTTCAGATCAAAAGCTCGCGAACAAGCTCATTTAACGGTTTGGCATCGGATTATGTAATGAAATTGGGATAAATATTGTGTTTTATTTTGCTAGACGTTGCTACAGGTTTGAATGTAATTTTGTGTTCAGTTCTAGGTCAATCTTTAGCTATCATGAACATTTTATGAACTGAACTCGATTTTGGACTCGTTAACCTTATTTGACGAGCCGAACTCAAGTCGAGCTCGAGCTTGCATATTAAAACTCGTGATGAGCTCGAGCCGAGCCCGAACCATGGCAATGCTCGACTCGGCTCATTAACAACCCTAGTTTTCCTTTCATCGGGACCGACCTAACATTATGGAGATCATGTTCTCAAAATAAAAATGTGGCTTATTATTTTTTTTTTTTTTGGATTTGACTTGTAAGTCACAGTGAGTCGGTGACTTAGAGAAAATGGTCTACCTCTTCGACCAAGTGGTCGACCACTTTCCAAAAAATTGGTCTTCCGCTTCAAATTATAGGTTTGCTTAGATTTGACTTACTTTATAGAGACTTTCATTTTCCCTTCAAAGTATAAGTTTGCTTGCTTTTATCTAAATTATTAATTAATTGGAGTTTGAAGTAGGAATGACAATAGGGTAGGTCTCGAGAGAATGTTGATATCCATACTTGTCCCGTGGCAGATCGGGGTACAGGTCGAGTAATTTATCACGAGGTGCGGATTGGGGCAGGTCGACCCAATGGCTATGTAATTTATGTGGAAAACATTAAAAATATTCGTTATTATCATTATAAACCAAAGAAACAAGTTTAATTAACTTATTGGAAAGATTGAGATTTTCACTAATTTATAGCTCTTTTTTTTTTGTCAACAAAACCCTTTCAGGCTTAAACATTAAGGACAAGGGAGGCTACAAGAACACAACACTCTCACTTGTCGACTCAAAGACATACTAGATAAGAGAAATTATGAAACGTACATAAACCAGGATAGCGTACACTACAAAAAAAGAGGCCTATGGCAAGGGTTTTTTTGACCCATAGCAAGGGTTATAACCCCTGCTACAAGTTGTAGCAAGGGTTTTCCCAACCCCTGGACAAACCCTCGCCAATGCTGCCCCTGCTACATGTAGCAAGGGTTTTTAACAACCCACGGTGGAAGTCCCCTCCAAGGGTTGTAGCAGGGGTTTTAACCCTTGCTACATATACCAAGGGTTACAACCCCTGCTACACCGTAATGTAAAATCCAATAGAGATACGTGTGTATCATGGGTTTGAACCCTTGGAAAATTTGTTGCTAAACTAGCAAGGGTTAAATCCCTTACTTAATTTGTGACTAATTAATTTTGTAACCAACTTATTAGGTCACTAAAGAGAAACCTGTAAGAATTCAAAACTGTTGCTAAAACTAGCAAGGGTCAAAACCCCTGCTTAGTTCGTGACTAATTAATTTGCAACCAACAATGTGGTCACTAAAGAGAAATTCGTAAGAGTTCAAACTGTTGCTAATGGGACCCAGTATTGGTTACAAATACTCTGGTTACTATTAGGAAAACCCATACCCAAACTTGTTGCTGGCCAACTTTTGCATATTTTTTTATATGGTTAATTACATTGATTCAATACATGGATAAATGTTAATTACCATAAATATCCAAGCATCATCCAAAAGAAACATGGTAGCAGTAAAAGAACCTAATGATCTACTCTTCAAAGCCAAAGGAAAATACCCATGAGATATCTTCCCTCTTTTACAAGTACTAATATGAGCTTCATCATCCGATACCTGGAGCTCTTTATGAAATTCGTAATCACATCCTCCTTTCCCTGCGATACATTAGGAGCATCTAAATGAGACAACTTAAAGTTTAAAGTATTATTTAGTACATCAAACTGCAACTAGAAATTGAATAGGTTCTAAGACATAAAAAGAAGACTACTCATGAAAAACATATAATTGACATCATTCTTAATGTACTCAAAAGCTCCACTTTCTAGAGCTGCAGAAAGAATCGGCTATGTAAATAATTTGCCAGACAAACTTTAAGAATGATGTTGGATAAATTTGCAAGCCTAGATGCATACCTCATCAGTAGTAACATGTTGGAGAAATTTATCCTCAAATTCACGGCAAAGTTCCAAGGCCAATGCTTTTGTACCCTCAAAACTTGAGACCATCTGCTCCCCAAGCCTTACTAGTCCATCTTGAACTATTTGGGACTTCCCTTGTAACTGAACAAAAATAAAAACTGAGTACACAAAGAAGTGATTTCATCTGACAAACCAGTTGTTCCCTAAACCTAAGTAGACAAGCGAACAGTGGAATTATGGCATCTCCGGGGAGAACAGCTAATGATAGGATCCATTCTGATGGCTACAAAAATCTTTATCAAGTTGAAATTGATCTAACCTGTGTTGAGCGGAAGAGGGTGCTGAAACTCATATTCCAGAATCCATAAGCCACACGTTCTCTTAAACTTAGAGAAGCTAACCTTTCCGGCCTAAGGCTGTACCTGCAGGCATAAAAACAGGGAATGCGGAAAAAGTTGCGAGAGAAATAGGATCGAATCATCTATCTGTGAAGAAATCATAATGAATAGACAATTAACAACTACGGATATATTCATTGACTTATCATTGCATTCCTAGTTCTTCCCATTCTGTTCCACAGACTCGAATAGTTCGGATTGAAGAAAGGGTTTCTTCTGCTGCCTGTACCAAGGGTAGAAATTTTGGCTAAGATATCATCATAAGCTTTGACATTTTCCCCTTATTCAGAATGAATGAACTTTTTTACCTTACCGGCAGAGGCACCGAGATCTTGAGTTAGCTTGGCAGCTTCCTCCTGGTACCTATGACAGAACATATTTTGTTCAAGTTTGAGCAGAGAGAAAGGAGTTCAAGTAGAAAAGTTGATAGGCAGCCTTATTCAACATAATTCCAATAACTTGTTGCATTGTAAGATATAGGAATACCAACCGGCCATAAAGTAGAAAGATAGTGGCGAGAACTAAACATGTGATAAGTGATGACGATGCAAGAGGCCAGGATAGAATCAACAAATTGATCAATGCGCCTACCCCTTCCTAATCAAAAGAAGACATTATATACATCATTCTACATTTGGAAGAAACAGAGAAGAATCCAATGCCAAAACCTAACCTGAAATGTACTGCGAACTATCAGGTGGATATTATTCCCAATGACATTAGAAAGTTGTTGACACTCTGCCCTTAGCCTGCTTGTCAATCCACCAACTTTCTCACTATCGAAAAATGCCATGTCCTACTTCATAATAGAGACTAGTCAAAACACAGACTTGGGATATATTAGATGTGAGTAAACAGGAAATGTGACAGGGTCCAACAACATCTCACCACACTATTATTTCCATAATCTAATTGGCTGGTATCTACGATTACAGGAGCTCAGACCACATCTCACCACACTAAAAATTGAGTCAATTAAGAGCTTCACCTGGATATCACTTTGCAGCTTGGCAACTACAATTCATTGAAGAGGTGTAGTACTGCAGGTCGCACTTCAATCAACTGTTCAAAAAAAAAAAAAAACCAGAAGTCTTGAGAAAAGCTTTGATGGTGAGTAATACAAAAATTTACTGCTGGGTTTTTTTTTTCCATTCCCCCTTTTGATTTCCAATGAGTTTTCATTGCAAATTTACCAAACTATGAATGAGAAAATGTATTTATGGTAAAGCTAGGACGAGGGTGTAACTACCAAGGACACCCTGCAAATGGAGGAATCTGGAATCCTAGAACCAAATTGTCTGAAGCCTAAATTATCATCCACAACTCAATAAGCAAGCATACTAACCACATATAGCTTGAAAGTTATTTCTTCATACCTCTTCTTCCTCTTCGAATTCATCTTCTATTTCTGTCATCAGTTGTCTCAGCTTTGAAACCACTGCCATCCTATTCCAGTCCCCATCTTTAGTGGCGTGGATTAAGGCGCCCATTAGCTCAGGTTCTACATCTCAAAGTAGCTTCCCTGTGCAAACCATTTCACTTAAAAGAATGATTGATTTAGAAACTGCACAAAATTTTTACAATGATCCAAGAACAAAGAGGGAATCATTTACCAATACAGTTATATTGCCTTTGGTTCCTTCCCGAACGTCCGGTCCTAGTTTCTTCGAAAATTAAACAAACACCATGGCTTCAATAGCTTACAGAAACTCAACCTCTTGCCCAAAGATAATCAGCTGAAGAATTGTATACCTTAACTAGCATCGAAGCTTCAAACACCTCTTTGCATGGAGCTGAAGTTGACGATAGTGCTTTCAACTTATATTTCGTGTTTGCAAGCTCGTAGAAGATCAAAGTCACCAGGAGAGGCGCTGTAGTAAGCTAGAGTTCACATTCGGAACCCGAATCAAAATCTGGTGATCGAAAAGGTGAAGGTGTTTCAATTTGGGGAAATTGCTAACTGTGACGTCTAGCTTCCGCAGTTCAGGGCATCGTTGCAAACGCAACAACTCAAGGTTAGGAGCATTAGCAACGACATTGTAGAGCAAATGTTCGGTAAGATTGACAGATCGGAGATAAAGAACCTGGAGAGTATGCAGAGAAACCTTTGCCAGTTCGTTCAAGTCGCCGGAGAACCTTCAATTCGAGCTTGAGGACTTTTTGTGCGGCTTTAATTGCAGAAGGATTCCGCCGGGAAATTGAAAACGTTGTTCCCTTCGAATCTGATCTCGACCTCGAGCGGGGATCCGTAGTCAGCAGAGCCGCCCAGCGCCGACGCTAGCAACATGCCGAAGTCTTCATTCGCAGACTGTAAATCGGCGGATCGGCGAATTGGCAGTGAGAATCTGAACGAATCCAACGAAATCGTTCATAACTGGCGGCGGACTGGTCGAACTCCTTCGAGGCTAAACTCCAGCACTGGGTATGATCGCCATAGATGAAGCCATCTCCGGGACAACGATTTGGTTCTCGCCACTTGTTCCGGAGCGTCCAGACGGTATGGGCGGGGGATTGGAGGTTCGTTTCGATTCAAAGGAGCTGGTAACGTGAAATATCAATCTCACAGGATCGGGTAAGGAGGAGGATGGACGAAGGAATAGATCTAGGGTTCAGAGAAGGAAGAACTCCGATCGATTTCGAGTTTCCATTTTTCGTTTTTTGTCGAAATTTGAAAATTACTCGAATTACTTTATTTTTTTTGGAATAAAAGTAATATTTTAATTATATTAGGTAGCAAGGGTCTATAAACCCCTGCATTAAACCCTTGATACAGCTATCTCTAGACACATTAGCGAGGGTTTATACAACCCCTGCTAGTAAACCCTCGCCAAAGCCCCCTTTCCTTGTAGTGGTAAGGCCTGTTGCGACACGCAATGGGCAGCCCGATTCGCATCTCGAGTTGTGAACAGTAAGTGGACTCTTGATAAGTGTAACAATAGAGTAGAAACTTCCCGAAATAGCTCCTCCATGAACATCAGAAGTGTCGCCGGAGCACAATTTGTCGATAATTGCTAAAATATGATGATGTAATAAAAAAAAATCTTAAGGAAATTGACTAAGATTACATGTAATTAAGCAAGAATGAATCGAGAATTGGGTGGGTCTGGACAAATCGGGTCGATGAAAGTACTTATGCGGCTATGCCCGCTCCAAAATATGTCAAACTGGTCGGATAAAATAAAACGGATCAAATCAAAATTTTCATCCTTAATTAAAGTTCATGAACTATGATTGTATTGATGCAGGCAGCAGCCCGTATGGGCCATAAACTAGCAGGCAACACCTCGTATCACGAAGGCCCACGACAGCGAGCCCAATCTCAGTCCGAAGAGCTGCTATGGCTTCAACAATTTCTGGTCGGCGCTATTAGGCTAAAGCCGCATAACATTTATCTTCCAACAATTTGCAACGGCCGATCCCAGGTAAGAGGCCTTGATAGAAAAAAAATAAAAAACTCAAGTTACAGTATAATCATAGGTTATGCACTCGTCAGTAATTAAATCTAGATGATTTATTCAGAAAATTCAGATATAAAAGTGGAGAATTAAATACATTTTTATTTTCCTTTTGTTTTCTTAATCGGTTGATATCTTTTTCGTTTTAGTTTGGATTTCATTTTTTTTTTTTGCACAGATGGAACGAGCTCGTTGTACTCTATAAAATGAGATCTATTTTCAATATTTTTTGAGAAAAAAAAATCAGGCATCTCGTTACGAACTGCATACCATACGGTATCTTCTTCGTTTTTAATTCATTTTTGAAATTTTTTGCACAGAAGGAACGAGTTTATCATAATCTATTGGATCTACAAATTTCTGGGTGAACAAAATACAGGACAAAAAAATACCACACAATACCACCCTAGTACATGGTGGTATCTTGTGGTACACAATGTTAAAAATTGTAAATGACAATTAATATATTTCTACTATCATGTATTCAACAATCCTACAGTCTTGGTTTGTTCATACCATCATGATACTCTTTTCATACCATATGGTTATGGTATAGAGTATAGACTGGTAAAAAATTGCTCAATTTTTTTTTGTTCTAAAAAATATATGAAAGTGGATATTATTTTGAAGAACACAATTAATCTGATCTAATTGTGCTAAAAAAATTAAATTTCGACTTAAAACGATGGATTCTAATTGAGTTATGCATAATTATTAACTACAAGCTTATTGTCCCCATTTTTTAACAAATGCAATATTTTTGTTTGGTGGCGACTGGTGAACAATTGAGCAGCCGCGCGCTCTTAATTAGTATCAATGGAGCGAAGTTTTCGAAAAAAAATAGAAAGCATTAATTACAAATGAAAGGACCTTAATTAACGCCGTTTTCCCAGAATATGAACTCTGTAATAAAGTTTAAAATGGGAGATGGACACACAGCTAACCTTCTCTGATGATCTGTCGTTGCCACCAATGGCTTCCGCCTGCGCAGCATTATCTACATCTCTCTATATATATGCATCTTCCATCAATATTCAATGCTATATCTGATTCACAGCCCTTTTATAGCGAAACAAACATTATTTAGATAGATAGATAATTAAGAAGAGATCATTTTCTATCATCTCCATGGAGAGGAGAATGTTTTTTGCAGCGGCTGCTACAGCTGTACTAATACTGCAGCTGCTGGTAGCTCTGATTGCTCCATCCTCATGCTCGTCAGTTGAGCGGGACGATCACTTGTGCGGCCAATACCAAAGCGGAACATGGGCCTTATGCGACCCGGGACGCTGTTGTGGCCCCGAATCTTACTGCGGTCAGGGTTACGAGTACTGTTCCCCTGATTATTGCACGTTCCAATGTCCTCGCGCTCCTCCTGGTGGTTATGATCAAAGCAATTATGAAGTTACTGAAACTCAAGGAGCTGGAACTGGAGGAGGAGTACTGATCACTCGCCTTGTTAACGCTACGCTGCACAATAACCGCTACTTCAATTTGAATATTGGCGGCGATGAGCTCGTCAAAATGACCGCCGACAATGCTTCTTCATCTTCATCTTCTTCTTCTTCCTCACCGTCGTCGTCGTCGTCCTTGTTATCATGTGCAAGGTCTCTCTCCCGCCTGCCGTTAGTTTCTCGTTACAAGTACCCGTTCGCTGCTCTGCCTGCCCCGCAGGCTCAAAACAACATCACTGCTGCTACTCGTTGCGGCCGCTGCTTAATGGTGAATTAATTAATTAGTTTCATTGTCATTGCTAGCATCGTTAAATATGTAAACTACTAACTCAAATAACTAAAACATAATTGGGTGTTATGTAGGTAACAAATCTTGGAGTTGGAGAACTTCATCGTCAAGTGAAAGTTCGTATTGTTCATGGACATGGCAATGAGGGACTTGGATTGAATCTCAATACCTTCAAGCAACTTGACATCGATGGAAGTGGAATTACTAAAGGCCACATTTTGGTGAAGTATAAGTTTGAGAGTTGTTGAAAGCTGTACATGTGTGCGCGTGTGTTACTGTGTTTATCAAGGATATACGCGACTACTCATAAAATAAAGATCGATAATTAATATTCTATTAAGAATATCTAAATTTTGGTTTATCTTATTTAATTATATTCTCAATAAATACATGAATGTATGATGAGAAAAGTCGATAGTTTTTTTTTTATATGTAATGATTAATCAAAGTTACACATATTCGTATACGATTTAAGCGACCAATAATATATATTTGGCCTTCTCCATTTTTCTCTCTTGATCGAAATGTTGTTCTATTATTTGTTTATTTGGACGCTAATGTGTGAACATGTGACTTGCAAACACTACAACCCAACCAAAGGTCAAAATGTAACCAATTTATGATTTTTCCCGACCCAGTTGTATATATACACACATCATTATCCCTAAGAATTATAAAAAAAACATTATAAGAAAAAGAGTGCGGAGAGTCTACTTTTGATCCCGTGGACTCGTTCCAATCTCCAGAAAACTACCTAAATAGTGTGTTATGTTAGTTTTTGTTTCCGTATTTTCAATTTGTTCAGTTTGGTATAGCCAACATGATATGAATAGGGCAAGAAAATTGAGTAAACAAGGACGGATCAATAAAAAAAAAAATTGAAAAACCAAAAGCTAGTGAACCCCTTTGCTAACATTGCTACAACTACATGTATAAAATATAAATATCAGGAATGACTTTAAAGTCGTGGGCTCGTGGGTCGTGGCATTGGACTGAGAATGCTTTGTGTACACTTTTGGCATGACAATGTGTTTCCAGTGCCGTGTTAATATTTTTTAGTGTGTGAGTTTATATGGATGTTAAAATGCTACAATTTTACAATTAAGCGTTTATTCTATTTTTTTTATTTTAGGTAAAATCTTGAAATTGAAAAAAAAGGCGCCCTTAGCGCCCTGTTTCTACAAAAAAAAAAAAAAAAAAAAAAATTGAAAAAAATAGTTATAATTTTACTCATTTGAGAAAGGAAAAAAAGTAAGGTTATTGACTTAATTAGCTTCTGCACCGCATCTCTCTTTGGCCGACGAGGAAGGATGATTACATGCAGAAAGGTTAACTACACTCGTAAAGGTGAATTATAATATCCATAAAAGATCAGAGTAAGGAAGGGAGAGCCGCAGGGTACTCTCATATTATTGCATTTATATCTATAAAACAAATCTTAGTTTACATGTACCAAAGTAGGTTGCCTCTTGTACTACTACTTGAAATTAACTTAAACGACAAATTAAAGGACAAGGCTGATTTTCCAAATTTAAACGACAATTACCCTTCTCTCTCGTGGCCACCAATGTCATATACAAACAACACCTCGGCACTAACGTTCAGAAACATTTGATCTCAATAACTCGAATTACGAGGAAAGTTTCAATAATAGATCTTATACAAGATATGTACACGAATAATAGTACCCCTTCAAACGAAAGCTACTCGCGTATGATGAGCTTGAAATTTGCACATATATAACCGAAATACCATGTGTACATTTAACAAACAGAGTCGGCGGGATTAACCGAACACAAAGCTCTGGTATCATGTCAAGGAACCGTCGACCTCAATAACTCGAATTGTCGAGAGAGTTTCAGTATTCTGTAGGCTGTAACAAGTACTAACCATATCGATCTACATCTGTCTCTAATACTCTCTATATATTATATATATGCATGTGCTACGAGCTAGCTACATAAAACATAATTAATACACCTGATCCACAGCGCCCAACTTTTTGAATTAAACAGCGTATCAATATTATGGCGATGAAGATATATATGGAGGGGATAATTATGGCTGCCTATATACTGATAGTACTGGGAGTCCTGCAGCAGACTGCTCGGTCCCAAACCGGCGTTGAGCGGTCCGACCACTGGTGCGGCCATTATTCAGACGGATCGTGGGCTTTTTGCGACCCGGGACGCTGCTGTAGTGTTTATAAAGCCTGCGGCAGCACCGCCGAGTACTGCAGCAATTTTACTTGCTGGTTCAGCTGTGTCGCTCCTACTCCTCCTCCTTTTCTTGGTCATCAACCACCGAAAGGACCTGGAGGACTGGTAGTACAAACTCTCCTCCATGTCGTTAATGCGACTCATATTAATAACCACTCTTTGAACTTTGATGATGGTACTGGTGATGATCAGCTCGTCAATATAGCGCCCGCCGCCAATGCTTCTTCTTCGTCCTTGGCGTCGTCGCCGTTATCATGTGCGGCTTCTCTCTCCCGGCTGCCTCTGGCTTCTCGTCACAAGTATCCTTTCGCTGCTCTACGTGCCCCGCGGTCTCAGAACAATGTTACTCGTTGCGGAAGCTGCTTGAAGGTAATTCGTAAAAAACTCCGTAACTGACGGATTTTCACTATATATGTACCATTATACTGCCTAAATCTTACGTGAACTAATGCAAATAGGAATTGGGTGTTGTTCATGTCCAGGTAACAAATGTTGGTGTTAGAGGACTTCCTAATCACGTGAAGGTTCGTATTGTTCACGAGCATAACAATGACGAAGGACTTGAATTGGATCTCGATGCTTTCAATAAACTCGATACAGATGGCAATGGAATTACTAAAGGTTATCTTTTGGTGATGTATGAGTTTGAGAACTGTTGAAGGCTACATATATCCGCTACTCATAACACCAAAAACCAATGACGAATCTCTATATACAATAAAAGTCGACGAATCTCTATATACAATAAAAGTCGATGAATCTTTTGGTGAAGTATCAGTTTAATTATATGATTTTTCGACACGTTTACTTAATTGTCTGGTTCTAATCTCTATAAACCATGGTTCAAAAAGACACGCTTAACCTTACGCTTAGAAACGCCTAGGCGTAAGGCAATGACAAAACGCCTCGTCTAGGGGTTTCGCACCTAGCTGGATACTGGAACACATCAATGGAGTAAGACGACACATAAGTCTCTCCTAAACATAACTGGATGGAGCTGGGAAGTCAATATTAAAAGAGAAAATTAACAACAACTATGAAATCAATTTTTTATATCAATATTTTCAATAACTCAAGAACTTTGTGAATTGTTGATATATGATTCTATGAATTCGTGAGCTATGTTCTCTGTCATAAGTGTCGAGTAAGTTATTACGCATTTTAATTGAAGTGAAAAAGTGTTGTAGATTATTATTTTATTCATCATGCAGTATGAATAGTTATTTTTCTTCCAACGCTTAGGCACGCTTAGTCTACCCTTAAGCGAGCTAGACACTAAGCAAAGTCTCAATGTCTGCCTTACGCCTAGCACCTTTTTCAACTTGCTATAAACACAAGAATGTATGGTGATAAACCTATAAATCTCTATATACGATAAAAGTTATACGCTTAGTTACTTATAAGTTATAAATATATAAGTGGTTCGATAAAGCTAGTTATACATTCTTCATTTTCCATACTTTTCTTAAGATAACATGCACTCCAAATTACTTCGACCTCCAGCCTGCATGCGGTGTGGAGACAGTTGATTGGGCCGTTGATTTGCGTACATATTTTTTATATAGCGAAAGATTCTTTGTTATCGATGCTAGGAGGAATTATCTCTTTAAAAGAACAAGTTACAAGTTTACTGTTTGGTAGAGTCACATCCCGCCACTGTTACTTTTTGCTTTTTACTTGTTCTCATCATTTCTCATTTGGCTTTTCTACGTTTTGGAGTTGGGTAAAGTCACTTCCATTGGTGCACTCTTCAAGATCTTTGGCATGCTTGAGTCACTTCCCTCTGACAACCAAGACTTTTCTTCCCCTACTCTTTCTTTGTTGCTTTACTATCCCACATTTCCTTATCCTTCCCCTCTCTCTCGCATACCCTTTCCCAAGCACCCACTCTCCTCTCTCTCTCTCTGCTGAGAAAGAAGAAAATGGACAGAAAGAAGCCTCTCGTATTACGTTAGAAGGAAGAGGAAGGAAGAGGAAAGAAGCCTCTCCTTAGTGTCCCATCCAAAGGGTGACCTTTTGGTTATTTCCCACAATTTAGGACCAATAGTGTAATTATATTCTTCTTTTCTTTATTCTTTCCATTCCTCTCTCTTGCTTTATTCCCATCCACTCAAATTCACTCTTTCCCGTAAACCCTTCCTCCCACACATCAATCAATCTTCATCCCTCCCTCTCTCTCAATGGGAGCAGAATAGTGCTACCACACACAAAAAAACCAGAAAAGTGAAAGAAGAACAGAAGATAGGAAGAAGAAAACCAGGAGGGGAAAGGGAGGAATGAAAACCCCGCCCACCTGTGCTCTCCTTGGCTCCCTTGCTTTCCCCATCCACATGCGCTCTCCTTGATCCAGCTCCGCCGTTGTCCCTGTCTCTCTCTGTGATTGCAAATCTCCGAAATCGGCGATGCAGCGGCAATCCGCCAAGCTTGCCAAGGAAGGAGGGTTGTTCGACGGCTGGTGGTCTAGATCGTGAGTTTTCTTTGCTCTCAGTTTTTCGACGGCGATCTCATTTCTCTCCATCTGCTTTCTCTCTCCGTTAATTTTTCTGAGTTTATTTGTTCTCTTCCTTGGGTAGAATTTCCTTCCTCTGTTTTTCCTACTCGAACCATTAAGAGAAGGGAAGTTGTGGACGACCCCGGTGCGATGGGAAGGTCGGTCATGGATGTCGGTGATGATCCCAGTTATGAGTGAGCTGCTTTCCGTTTTGAATATTTTATTTCTGGGGATTTTTTTTTGTTTGGCTTGAATTCTGGTTACTTATCTTTTACTTCTTGGTTTTGCTATCACGAAAACGTACGTTGATTCGTCCGCTGACGTCGGCTGTTGTCACAATAGAGGAACTTGCCCGACCGCAGATGAACAGTTATCAACGTCGACAAAGGTCAGTTTTTTTATGTATGTATTTCCTTTTTCGGTTTTGGTGTGTTTGGAATTTTTATTTTAAGTTCTGCTAATCTGACCAGACCTTTTCTTTTTGGGTTTTCGGGTGAGGGCAATAGGAAGGATAATGTAAGAGTTGTTGCCGGTGTAGATTTCCGAAGCCTGCAAAGTAGCAACGAGGGCTGGCCGTTGCTCTCTAGGTAAGCTTCTTCTGTTTGGGTTAAGCTTCTTCTGTTTGGGTTTTGAATTTGTTTTGATTCTGGATGGCGCCTTTCTTTGGAGTGGTTCTGATATGTTTACTTTTGATTCCAGCCAAGGGAAGAGGGAGAAGGAGTCTCGGCCCTTGGACAGCAGCAGTGTAGCTTGCTTGCCCAGGTAGAAAATGCGTCTACTGTCTAGGTAACTTTTAATTTTTCCAGTGTATTTGGTGATTCGATTTTTCTTTGGATGGATTCTGTATGTTTGGTGGAGATTATGCTGTACACGACCAACATGGCAGTGGGGTGGGGATAAAGGGAAGGTTAGAAAAACATGAGGATTGAGGATTAGAGTTCAATATTAATGAAAGAAGCAATTTTAGAGAAACGAGGGGCTTGAATCATGGGAAATCTTCCGACCCATCTGGTGGAGAGTTTATTTTGGATTCGATGGATGGTTTTGTTTGATTGAAGTCGTTCATGCTACTCTTTTTCCTTTTATTTGTGTTTATTGCAATATTAGTTTGAACTAATATTTTTACTGACCATTTGGTTTGTATCACTGTATGCACTCATATTAGAGGATCGATGGAAAACCTTTTGTTGCTGGGAAGACTAAGATGCAAGTGGCGATTCAGTGAAGGAAGTCAGAAACCCACAAAAGGTGATCTTAGTCCTCTGAACTTCATGTTCCCAATGGTTGTTATGCTAAAATTGTACTTGCTAGCAGAAGAGAAAATTGTAAATTACCTTCCTCGATTTGGTTTGGTTCGTTTCTATTCTTTCCAAGAAGTTACTCAGTTAGGAGAACAAAATGCAGGAACAAGGCTCGATTTTAATTGCTCGCTTGGAGAGTAGGGAAGACATGTTCATTGCATGCAAATGATGATTTCCAAGAAACTTGCAGCAAACAACTTGGAATTGGCATGGGTTATTGGGTTTCAATCTACTTGAAATTGCTTTATTGAACCTCTAGATCAGTGTTTCCAATCTATGGCCATATTTTGAGTTCATAGTTTAATTGATTCTTCAGTTTTTGAATTTTGTTTTCAACCGTTGCTTGGTGCTGCTTTCGGGTTTCAGATTGTGGCACCAAAAATTGTATACTGCCATTTTCAATTTGCGTTTCAATCTTCCAGTTTTTCATGTTATCTTTTAATCAAACACAGACTAATTGGTGTTTTGAGGTTGGTACTTTCATGGGTTAGGATCCTTTTGGAAGTTCAAATTCTTCATTAATGCCATGAAACTCTCTAGCATACCCATTCCTTGATTTGACCTCATTTTAGTTGATTTCGAGTTGGTTGCTAGGCTTTGTGAATTTTAGGAACATCAGATGCCTGGATGTGAGTTGTTGGATCCACGGTATCGGGGAGTTTGTTGATTTCTATACGAAAAGGGTGGACATCCTTCCGTTCGAGGTAATTACTGGTTTGTTCAATATCAAAAGTCACTTGCCTCTTTGTCTGGTTTTTATTGACACTTGCTTCACTAAACTACAAGTAACCAACTCATTCAGTTTTTATATGCTCTCACTTAAGAATATGTTGTTGGGAGTAATGCTGCTATAATGTGGTGTCGTTGTTGAGCTTCTTTTGATTCTGGGGATGAGTAAATACCGTGACTGGTTCTCATAAGTTGTAGGGATGCGAGGAACTGGCTGGTGCTGAAATCGTTTCTGTTGACGAATTCTTAATTGTCTGTATATTGAGTTCAATTACAGCTTGCGGTTTGGCTGTCTCAGGTTGTTTAGGAAAGCTTGGCCTCGATTAATAACTAAGTTTGCAGAGGTTTGTAAGGATACCATGTTGCTGGTTCTTATAAACTTATATTATGCCTTTGTTTTTTTGGCATGGGAATGGCGCAAAGGGAGGTTGTCAGGGAAACAACGGAGGGTCATTTCTGGCCAGGGTAACGGTGGAGGTAAGACATGTGAATAGAAGAGGGAAGGAAAGGTACACGGGATTACAAGCAAATCCACGTCTTAACACGAAAACCACTTGTTTCGAGTGATGGGATCTACAATTCGCTTAAGGCTGGAATAAAAAGGTAGGTGATGACCTTCATTTTCTGTTTTCAATTTCTGCTCACTTGCACATGAGAGTTTGTTTAATCCTTCCCGTTAGAAATACAGCCTGTGCGGTATTTTTCTGTATACTCAGTTCGATTACAGTTGGTGGTCTAGCCATCTTTGGTTGTTTAGCTAGCATTGCCCTCGATTGACAACAGTTTGTAGATATATTAAAGGATACCATGTAGTTGGTACTTATAGGGTTATCTCAAGTGACCACGAAGACCACTGGAGTGGTTCTTACTACTGGTTTTCAGCTAGCAGGTTAGTTTCGGTATATATGTTCTTAAACAGAGTATCTTTTAAAATGGATAGAAACAATAGAAGCTATCTCAAAAGTGTAATCTGGTTTGAAAATGTCCTCTGCAAATATGATGCTTTTGAATTTTCATAATTATTTTAGGTCAACCAGATTTTGAAACTATTGATAAGTTCTCTTTATTTGCAGACTGTTACTTTCTTTAAATCGCATTTTTTTTCTTTCAATTGATTGTATGATTTGATCTTTTTTTTTTTTTTGCTCATGGCAGGTCCCTCCCAGAAACATGATCCGAAGGTAATGGGCATAGGTAGATGAGAAATAGACTCAGAGATGGCAGTATCATCGAGTGTAGACCAAAACGATAGGTAAATTGTTTTTCAACTGTGTTGGGCTGAAGATCCCCTCTATAATAGAATTTGTTTTTTACCTCAGGTGCAATATTGAGGTTCAGTCATTCTGTAACTTCTACTTTTGTTCTTTCTACACTTTTTTGTTTCCTAATGTGGTCTCGGTTCTTTGTTTTACCTTTTTGGCGGTGTTTTGCAGTACCAATAGGGAATGAGTTGCAGATGCAGTTGAGAGGACGAGAGCTAAATATTGTTGTTCTAAGATGAGGAGGAGAAGGTAATGTTAAAGCTTCCTATAACGGAATTCCATTTAGTCCATGTTTCCATCTCCTTCCTGATCATTTCCCTCCTTTTTATGCATTCCTTCCATAAACCTAGAGATACAAAATATTGTCATTGCTCATGTCAGTATGTTTGGATCTCAAGTGTCATCCCCATTAGATCACCAACTAGACGAGCTTATGAAGAGAGGTTTATCAGTTAGTTCCCGATATTACTTTCAATTATCGTTCCTAAAATTGAGATATGTTTCGCTCAATGTACTTTTTCCAAACTTAAGATAATGGTTTATCACAATGTCCAGTGACTCCCATAATGTGTTCAGTATGCTCTGTGAATTATTCATTGTGCTCATAGCTTCTCATTCTTACTCTACTTTCTTTGTGCAGTGGCTTCTCTATTGTTGAATCATGCTGCTTCATGGTTAGTTTTCTTCTCATGGAAATTAGCTTTCGTAGTCCTTGCTTGCTTGCTTATGCTTTAATTTGTACGCTTTGTTATCATTTATCTAACAACCTCCCATTGCCTATGCAGTAAGGACAAGACCGCTGCATCTTCTCTTGCTTCATCATGTTAAACCAGTCCGGTCTCGAACTTTTGTTCCTATGAATCCAGTTTTAAGACGTCTTATGTGTTATGTTCCAGGAAGTCCTTGCTCAATTTGCCTTCCCAACTTCCTTTCCTTGATGCCTTTCTCATCTGAATCCTTATATTAGTAAAATAGATAGAATTGTTGCACCACTGCTGTCATGGATTTGCTAACTTGAACAATTTTATCTTTTTTTACTTTCTTTATTTTATAAATTGACCAGTTTATAACTTTTTCTACTGTCATCTCATGTAGACTTTGTGGTTACCATATTCTTATCATAATGGAATATGTTTATTTTTCTCATGATGTGAAATTATTTTAATGATCAAGCAACCATATGAAGACAAAAAAAACCCCTACTATATCTGCTAGATAATGAGTTAAAGTTTGATCAATGTTAAGTGGCTGATTGCCTGCTATCAAATCCTAAAAAACTGTGGAGTTGGTAGATGATTCATATTTTCGATTGTGTTAAATTTATTTTTTCATGCACCTTATAGATTTATAGAGGTGGTATGACAATGCTATGTTTTTAAAATGACTTAATCTCCTTTCCTTTACCTATGGACTCTGCTGGTCTGTCGTTTCAGAATTTCAGTTAGGTAGGTGATTCTTCCTTATTCACCGATCTCACTCCCCTTTCGCAGCCTGCTCCATGGGACTTGCAAAGCTCCTTTACATGCTATATTGTTGACCTTCAATGGTTTCAACAATCATCCCAACAGTTGAGTCCCGCCGCGCAGCGCGGGTTTTCCGTTCTAGTTATTATAGAAGTCCATGATGTATAAGATGGACGAACAGTTACCCTTCTCTCGTGGCCACCAATGTCATATACAAACAATACCTTATTAGCAGCTAAATTCTTTCAATAATTATTAGTATCAATAATTCGAGTGGTTGGAAAAATTCCAATAATTTGAAGTTTGCACAAATTCGGACTATCATGTGTTTAACGAAAAAAAAGTCTTCAAAATTAATCGAACAGAAGACCTCTTGGTCCATCACAAAAATCTATGATGATATCATATTAAGGAACCGTAAAATTGAATAACTCGAGTTGTCAAGAAAGATTTAATAATAAATCTTATACTAATTAAATACTAAAAATATCGAGATCTATCTCTCTCTATATATATGCATCTCTTTGTCTCTTTCATTCAATAATATATATATATATATATATGTCGCCGGCCGAAGAGGAATGATTCCGGGGAGCCTCCCATAGATAGACACAGAATTAGCCTTCTCCGATCTCATCTCTCGTTGCCACCAATGGCATATATATATATAATTAATTAAAGCAAACTCGACCGTGGCTACATGCCACTATATATGCATCTCCGATCAATACATTTCTGCTTCACAAGTCACAACCCTATTAATTACAGCGAAAACAAACATATACAAAGACAAGAGAAGAGAAGAAATCGATCTGTTTCATCTTCAGTTCATAGAGAGATGAGAATATTAATGTTTTTGGTAGCTGCAGCAGCTACAGCTATACAAATAGTACTGATTCCTCCATCTTCATCATGTGCAGCTGAGCGGGACGATCACTGGTGCGGCCAATATCGAGACGGGACATGGGCCACATGCACCCGGCCGGGACACTGTTGTGGTCTCAACTATTACTGCGGTGACGGTTACAAGTACTGTTCCCGTGATTATTGCCGGTTCCAATGCACTCCGGGTAATCCTCCTCCTGCTCCTCCTCCTCCTCCTGGTGGTGGTTATGATCAAAGCAATAACTATGAAGTAACTGATCAAGCCGGAGGAGGAGTACTCGTCACACGTCTTGTTAACGCTACGCACAATAACCGCTACTTCAATTTGAACATTGGTGGTGGTGATGAGCTCGGTAAAGTGGCCACCGACAATGCTTCTTCTTCCTCCTCCTCGCAGTCGTCGTCGTCGTCCTTGTTATCATGTGCAAGGTCTCTCTCCCGCCTGCCGTTAGCTTCTCGTCACAAGTATCCGTTCGCTGCTCTCAGTACTCTCCCGCAGCCTCATAACAACGTGACTGCTACTCGTTGCGGTCGCTGTTTAAAGGTGAATTCAATTAATTTGTTTCATCGTCATTGCTACCATCGTTAAATATATATGTGAACTAATTAACTCAAATTATTAAAACATTGGGTGTTATTGTAGGTAACAAATGTTGGAGTTGGAGAACTTCTTCCTCAAGTGAAAGTTCGTATTGTTCACGAACATAGCAAAGAGGGACTTGAATTGGATCTCAATACCTTCAAGAAACTTGATATCAACGGACGTGGGATTGCTAAAGGCATGCTTTTGGTGAAGTATCAATTCGAAAGCTGTTGATGAAGGTTACACATGTTTGTATCTTCGTCGGAGATATACAACCACTCACAAAATAAAGATCAATAATTAATCAATTAACAGTTTATCGTATCTGGTTTATACTATCAATAAATACCTGAATGCTTTATGATAAAATCGACAGTTCTATATCTGTAATTAATGATCAATGAAAAAGTTACGTGTCTATGTATATGATACGATATAAGCGGTCAATATATTTAGCCTTCTTCATATTTCTCTTCATATGCGGTTGAATTATTGTTTATTGTTCACCTGCCCGTTAATGTCTGTACAACTAACTGTACATGTCAAGGTTGGCCCTTTGGTCATTCTTTGGAATCGGCCACAAACAGAAGTGTTAACTAAGGTTTGGGTTAAGGTGCAAAATTATAACGGATTACCAAAATTGTGAGGAAAGTTAACTAATAATTATCTAGGCAGAGGGTAAAGAAGAGTTTGGAAAGAGGGTTGCCCGTATTTTGTGGGGGGGAGCTAGAGCAAATTTCTATGCGTTATTAAAATATTTTTCAAAGGTTGTACAGGAATTCAACCGACATTATCTCATTCTTTTTACATAAAATTTCAAAAACATTTTACACAAAAAATCAATTTTTTTGTCTGTCATCTATAAAACACGCTATACGTTTCATGTAATGTAACAGATATTTGTCTTTTGACTCTTCATATCACAATGTTCCACTAAAAATCCCAGTTTTTTTTTTTTTTTTTTTGGTCGTACGGAAGGAAATTAATAAAGCTTAATAATACATGTGGGGAACATCACCCTGGTCTCGCATATTGAATCCCAGCTATATCGCCCTCCACCAGATGAACAATATCTGTCGGAGGCGATGAGAAAAGTTCCTCCCCACCGAACATCGCATGCCCCTTCTTTGCCATGGCATCTGCTACAACATTTGCTTCTCGGAAGATATGGTTGATGGTGTACTCTCCGTTGTTCTTCAGTAGTTGTCTGCATTCCCTCAGTAGATTATCCAAAGGGTGATTTTCCGTATCTAATTGACAGATGAGTTGAACGGCCACCTGCGAGTCGGACTCAACTTCAACTTTTTTATATCCAAGCAATTGAGCGAGGGAGAGACCATCTCTGATCGCTCGTACCTCGGCAGTAACAATTGTGGTAAACCCAAAGGAATTGGCAAACCCAGCAATCCAATTCCCACAGCAATCTCGTAAAACTCCCCCAATCGCAGTGGAGCAATTCGCTTCATAACGACTCCCATCAACGTTGACTTTTATCCAACCCACATCTGGAGCCTTCCATGAAACCAGTCTATCATTACCCTTGTTCTCATCCCCATTGTCCATTAGCTTAGCAATCTCCAAGGCAAACTTTTGACAATTCTGCCAAAAGAGGACTCTACTCCATTGATTAACTCCATGAGCCACCTGATTCCTCATCTTCCACCCATACCAGAGAATTCCAGCAAACCAGGCCATCCACGGAATTCCTTGGCAAATTATATTCCCATCAACAACTAGATTTCTCCAAAGCCACTCTGACAAATTCAAATTAAAGAAGTCAGTAAGTTCAACTGGCATTATATCAGTCCATGCTCTTTTTATCATACCACAATCCCGCAGGGCATGGAGGCTTGATTCAGTAACGCTCAAACACCTGGGGCACTTTCCATCCACCGGGACGTGACGATAACTCAGGAAAGCTTGAGTTGGGATGCTGTCATGTAGAACCAGCCAACAGAAAAATCGAAGTCGTTGAGGGACCTTGAGTTTCCAAACCCATAACCAATCACGATCACGTGGCGGTATGGGGAATGTGGAGGAGAAGAGACCCCAGTAAGCCGATTTGGGAGTGTAGGTACCATTGCTTGTTTCTCCCCAAATAAGACGGTCCGGAGTGGATGTCGTTAGGGGAGACATGGTACTGAGAAGATCCAGTTTCACATCCGGAGGTAGGATAGTATGAAGCTTTTGTAGATCCCAACCCCCGGATCCATCCTTCATTTGATGAACTAAAAGTCCCGCATCCCTTTGGTGAATCCTCCCTCCCACTCGGTCGAGTAAGACTCCTTGAGGTAGCCATCTGTCCGTCCAAAACTGCACATCTCTCCCGTCTCCTATTCGCCAACGGAACATATGACGTAAGGCAGCAAAAGCCTTGACAATCCCTTTCCAATGAGGGGAATCATTCCTTGCAGCCGGTTGTTGTAGGCGATTCAAGCCCCCATACTTTGCCAAGAAAACTTTAGTCCATAAGGAATCCTTTTGAGAGATTAGTTGCCATACCAATTTTCCCAGCAATGCTATGTTGTTTAAGCGAGCTTCCCTTAACCCCAAACCTCCACTCTTCTTGGGATTTCTCACCACTTCCCACCGCACCAGGGGCATTTTCCTTGTATCCCCATGTGAACCCCACAGGAAACCTCTGTTAATTTGATCAAGGGTTGTGCATACTGTTGAAGGAAGCCACATTATTTGCATCATATGGACTGGTTGGGCTTCAAGAGTCGAACGTGTAAGGGTTTCTCTTCCTGCAACGGACAACAGCTTGACTTTCCATCCTGCCAAACGACTTTGAACTCGATCGAGAAGCGGACGGTAGAGTTCCTTAGTTACCCTCCCATGAACAAGAGGGATTCCCAAATACCGCCCTAGATTTTCTGTGACCCTGAAACCAGTCACTTGCTTCAATTGGTTTCTAACCCCCCAAACTAGCTCCAGAAGAGATGAACATGGTGGATTTCAGTATATTAACTTTCTGTCCTGACATGCTGCAAAATCTCTCAATGGTATCTCGAATAATCTCAGCTTGTTGGATAGAGGCTTTTCCGAAGATGAGTAAATCATCCGCAAAAAAGAGGTGAGAAAGAGGGGGTCCTTGTCTGCTGATTTTTACCGGTTTCCAGAGACCTAATTGCTCCTGTTGGAGGATCATAAGAGAAAGTCTTTCCATACACAAAGTGAATAGGTATGGTGAGAGAGGATCACCTTGACGAAGCCCTCGTGTTGGTCGAAATGGCTCAGTTGGCTCGCCATTGAAAAGGATAGACACGGATGAGCTCTTAACACAAAACAGAATCAGCTTGGTCCAGTGCTCCGGGAATCCAAAGAAATGAAGGGTATCCTCTAGGAAATCCCAATTAACTCTATCATAAGCCTTCTCTAGATTGATTTTAGCTGCCAAGCAAGCTTCCCTACCTCGTCGCTTCTTAATGCTGAAAATGGTTTCTTGGGCAACAATAATGTTATCATGAGTCGACCGTCCCGGGAGAAAGCTATTCTGATACGGGCCAATAATATCTAGGAGGAACGGTCGAAGTCTTCGGGTGAGGACCTTGGTAAGGATCTTGTACAACACATTGCAAAGAGAGATGGGACGAAATGCAGCATAATCCTCTGGGTGTTGAACCTTAGGGATAAGCACCAAATAGATTTGTGCTACCTTGGGGTGGAAACTCCCTGTTCTTAAGGCCTCCTCCACAAAATTGGAGACCATGTCGCCTATTAAGTGCCACATTTGATGATAAAAGATGGGAGGAAAACCATCAGGCCCGGGTGCCTTTAATGGTTTCATCGACTTAACTGCAGCCCACACTTCTTCTTTTGTAACACTCTTCATCATTTCACTTGTTGCAACATCATTTAGTCGGGGATGGGGGAGCTGCCTTGCTTCATTCATGAACCCTCCATTCTGATCAGTGCAAGAGAACAGAGAAGTAAAATACTCCACCGCTGCCTTCCTTAACACTGCAATATCTCTACACCACTCGTCACCTTGGACTTTTAAACATTCAATTCGGTTCCTTTTGCGACGTATCTTAGCAGTGGCATGAAAGAAACCAGTACATTTGTCACCTGCTATGAGCCACTGTAGCCGCGATTTTTGGAGCCAGAAAGTCTCCTCCTGCTGTAGTACTTGGGAAAATTCAAGTGCAAGTTGTGTCTGCAATCTCCAAGCTGCTTCAGTTGGTCTAGCTGCAAGCTCTCTCTCAATTCCTTTTAAACGACCTAATATATGTCTCTTTTTCCTGAAAAGATTGCCAAAATGCTCTCTGTTCCAGACCGCTGAGTCCAGCTTCAACTGGTCTAGAGCTGCAACAGAATTTCCAAGGTTGTTCTCGATGCTATTTATCACCACTTCCTCATACCTGTTATCCGACAACCAAATAGCTTCAAAGCGAAAAGGTTTGTTTGTTGGGGGATGAGCAATGCCGTCCACGTTTAGAAGCAGAGGGCAGTGATCTGAGCTTACTCTTGGCAAGTGGGAGACGGAAGCTTCCGGGAACAACAAACGCCATTCCACATTTCCAACTGCACGGTCGAGTCGCTCTTGCAGGATACCAAATCGTATATCCTTGCGATACCAAGTAAATGGGGGTCCTTGGTATCCAAGGTCAACTAAGCCACACTCATTCAGGTTGTCAAGGAGGGGGAAGCGCGACGGCATTCCAGTGGGAGACCCACCTTTTCTCTCTGACGGACTGGCTATTTCGTTGAGATCTCCCATGAGCAGCCAAGGGAGAGTGTTATCTTTAGCAAACTCTAGAAGTTGGCGCCATAATCGAGACCTCCGGGCTGGATCTGGGCTTGCATATACAGCAGTGAAAATCCAAGGTTGGGTGTCCGGTGCCGACACTAACATGTGTACAGCTTGCGAGGAAGAGTTGAGGACGGAGAAGGAGAAATGGCCGTCATTCCACATCGCCCAAATCCCACCAGCTCTCCCACTCGCTTCTACTCTGGACTTATTTGTGAAAGGGAATTCTGAGATAATATCATCGGCTTTCACGCCGGAGACCCTAGGTTCCAGGATAACTGCCAAATTCACTCTATTTCGCCGGACAAAATCAGAAAAATTCCTACGGAAGGCTAGATTAGCCGCACCACGAGAATTCCAAACCATAATATTTAAATCCATTAAATATGTACAGAAGGAACCTGCACCCTTGTTGGGTCAGTTGACTATCTCTCTTGGGTGAAGCCACGAACTGGGCTTCTGCTACGGTGCAAACGGTGGGCTTTGTTAATGGGCTCCGTCGATGGACTTGTGGGTCTGCGTACACCGATACCACCTGAAACCTCTCCTTGGACATGTTTCTTTGTCTCCGGGCCTTGGTCAATAATCATGGATGAATGGGCTAACGATTCCTCATTATTATCACCCAACTGCTGGCCCGACATCTCCTGACTAACGGGGATACTTCCGCTTCAGCACACAAATTTACCGATGAGGAGCTTACCGCAATGTCAACTTCAATTGCCACTAAAGCTCAGATTTTCCAACACAAAGGTTGTGTGTCCCCCATGACTCCTACAACGCTTGTTGTCACCAAAAGCCATGCTTCCCAATCAAACATCTTTGGGACTTCCACGTCTGCCACTACAGCCGATAGCTCCAGTTTTTGTTGAGAGTTCTGAACACCCTTTGCCCAAAGTGAAACTGGCTGGCTGAGGAGATTGGTCAACCGATATTACAATGGGCTCGACGAGCCTGCATCAAGAAGCCCAGTAGCAAGCCCATCTACTTCTGGCTTGTTGGCCTGCTACTTCGAATTCAAGGTTGTTCTGGTACCAATTTGATGAAGCATTGGCCCCCACTCGCAGAGAAGGCCCACCAGTTTCGGATGATAGCTCTAATATCACCATACTTCAATATGGGCTAAATTGCAAGTTTGTTCACTTGAATTACTTGTAAATTTCACGTTAGCCATTAGAATTATTTTATTCTATCCGTAGTCACTTAAATTAGGTTAACAGTTCAAGTTTGGTCACTGACCGTTAGTCTCCGTTAACTTTTGCTGATGTGACGGTCAACTCTTATAGTTGACCGTTAAATGAGTGACGTGGCAATTAAAAAATAATAAAATAATAAAATTTAATTTTTAATAATTTCCATCTCATTATTACAATAAATTAAAAAATAATTAAAACAAAAATATCACTTCTTTTTAAATAATTTCACAATAATTAAAAAAAATGATTTAGATCTAAGCAACTTTCCATCCACTCCATCGATACTCCCTCCGACAAACCACCATCCACCGGCATCAGATCCGCCGCCGCTGCCGCGACGAAGATCCAGGCGGCGTACCGGGCCGGTGCGGTCAGCACGCTCTACCGCACGATATCGATTGTGGAGGCCGAGGTAGGGGAGATCGAGCGGCGGATCCGGTAGCAGGAGAAGGTGGACCGGTGAGGAGAGAGAAGGCGAGGGTGAACGAGGAGCTGATGCGGCTGCTGCTGAGGCGATGGAGGTATAATATAGAAACAATCCATATTTCATTCCCAGATACCTAGATATTGGATCTTCTTTTCTTAATTCATTCCCAGCCCCAAAACCCAGATTTCATTCAATCCCATTTCCAATTCAACTACTTGCCACGCACTTTAGAAGCCACCAGCAATGACGAGATTCAGGAAGCTACTCTAGCTCTCCTTCTTCGTCTTCTTGTTCACGTCCCCTCTCTTCCTCTCTACCGCTTTATTAGACAACGATGACGATGAGCAACCACAACTACCCAAGAAAAGAGCAACAGCAGCAGCAGCCTATCATCGTCACAAGCAACACCAAGCACCAAGCTTTCCAAATCTACCATATCCTCTGCTAACAAGAACCAAACCATGAAACTCACCAAGAAGACTACTACCGACTCTGCTACAATTGGAGATGCTCTGTCTACTTCTTCTTCGAGCGGTAAGAAGAACTAGACCAAGCTTGTTACCTCCAAATCCTCTAATTCTACTAAATCAACGTCACCCACCAAGGCCAAGGCCAGCAGTAATAGTGATTCTCTACTTACCACGAAGAAAAGCCCACCAATTGCACAGCTGATACTCCTTAGCTCATCAAGAAGAAAGACAAGAAGCAGCTCAATTCCACTTCCACACTCACCAAAACCATAACCCTTAAAAGTTTCAGAAGAACTGCGTCGGCGATCTTGAGGCGATGAATGGCGGCGGCGGTGGTCACGTGCACGTGCATATGTATGCCACTCACGGCGTTGTTTGTGACATTTTTTTTAATCCTTTTTTAATTTATTGAAATAATGAGGTGGAAATTATTAAAAATTAAATTTTATTATTTTATTAATTGCCACGTCACTCATTTAACGGTCAACTATAAGAGTTGACCGCCACATCAGCAAAAGTTAACGGAAACTAACGGCCAGTGACCAAACTTGAACTGTTAACCTAATTTAAGTGACTACGGATAGAATAAAATAATTCTAGTGGCTAACGTGAAATTTATAAATAATTCAAGTGACCAAACTTGCAATTTAGCCCTTCAATATGAATGATAAAAATTAAGGGGCATAATCATCCAAAATAGTAGGGGTGGCTATTTGGACCGGGACCGGATGAAAAACCGGAAACCGGACCGTATAACCCGGACCGAGACCGGACCGGGACCGGATAGTAAACAATCCAATCCAATCTTTGGGCTTAGATTTGAGGTAAAAAACCGGATAAAGACCGGATAAGAGAGCTCAACACCCAAAACTTAAGGGTAATTTGCATAAACGGTCACAAACCTTTGCACTTAGTACAAAACTTAACCAACTCCTCACCCTTTTAGGCCTTAGGCCACTCAAATTCCCACAATCTCAATATAAAATCAAGACCGAATTGGACCGGACCGGGTCAAGACCGGACCGGATCAAGCCCGGACTGTATCCAATCCAATCTTCGGTCCTTATATTTTCAAAAAAACCGGACTGGACCGAATCAATTTGGGCCAATTTAACCGGACCGGACCGTATAGCCACCCCTACAAAATAGACCGTGATGCATTTTATGAAATAAAATTATTTTGGTATAAAAAAAATTGTATTTTTCTCCTTTAACAAGCAAGTATTTATGTTTGCTGATAAATAGTTGACCAGGTATAGTCATTTTCAGAATCATTTATATAAAGTAGTTTTCGAACACAACAAAGGAATACTTAACAAAATAATAGGTGAATTCGTACACCACTAGTACACCTCTTCTCTCTTTCAATTTCACCGAGGAGAGAATCATCCGGAGGTGGAATGATTAGATTGAAACAGAACAAATTAAGTGGTAAGATGGACACACAATTAGCCTTCTCCCATGGTAATGCTTTAATTACTCTGCTTGTTTCTTAGCTTCAGCCGACGCTGGCTTTGTTCTCTTTGTAGTTTTTATGCTCTTGAGACAATTAATAATTAAGAATCACTCATGTATGGGAAACATACTTACGTACGTCATCAAACTCTTGACCACGACCATAGCCGCAGCCCCAGCTGCATGTCTACATCGATCTCTATATAATATATGCATGCGCTCTGCGAATCCCTTCTGCTTCACAAGCTCGATCGCAATGATGATGAGCGATAAATATACGGAGAGGAGAATGTCGTTGTTGGCAGCAGAATGTCGTAAGTATGTTTTCCTTTAACCGAACCCGATAAGGAATTTTCGGGTTTCGGGTAACCGAAACCCGCAAGTTCTTATCGGGTTCAGGTTCGGTTTTAGTGATTTCGGTGTCGATTTTTCGGGTTTTTTCGGGTTTCGATTTGGGCAACCGAACCCAACCCGAACCGACACTCCTAGCAGCAGCTACAGCTATATTATTAGCGCTGATCACTCCATCTTCATGCTCATCAGTTGAGCGGGACGATCACTCGTGCGGCCAATACAAAGACAACCTGACATGGGCTTATTGCGACCCGGGACGATGTTGTAGTAAGTACTATTACTGCGGCGACACTGTCTTTCACTGTAACAATCCTTACTGTTGGTACCAGTGTCATCAGGTTCCTTCTCCTCCTCCTCCTCCTCCTGATGATGAAACGGGAGGAGTAATCACCCGTCTCGTTAACGCGACGCGCAATAACAACTATATGAATTTGAATCTTGGTGGTGGTGATCATCATGATGACCAGCTCGTCAAAGTGGCCGCCGACAATGCTTCTTCTTCTTCTTCCTCTTCCTCGCCGTCGTCGTTCTTCTTATCATGTGCAAGGTCTCTCTCCCGCATGTCGTTAGCTTCTCGTTACAAGTATCCTTTCGCTGCTCTGCGTGTTCCGCGGGCTCAAAACAACATTACTGCTGCTCATTGCGGTCGATGCTTGAAGGTAAAATTTATTAGTTCCATCATATCATTGCTCCTCGTACGTACACAACCACCACTAATTAAATCCTTTGGTTTTCTCTATATTATATCTATGTAACTAACGCAAATAAACATTTGATGTGATACATATGTATATGTAGGTTACAAATCTTGGCCGAGTTGGAGGACTTCATAGTCAAGTGAAAGTTCGTATTGTTGACGAACCTAGTAACGAGGGACTTGAGTTGGATCCTAATACTTTCAAGCAACTTGACACCGATGGATATGGATTTACTAAAGGCCACCTTTTGGTCAAGTATCAATTTGAGAGTTGTTGAAAGCTATATATGCATGTGTGTTTATCAGGGATATACAACTACCCATAAAATAAAAATCAATAATTAATATCCTTTAAAAATATCTAAATCTACTGTTTATCTTATCTAGTTATACTCTCAATAAATACATGAATGTGTCATGATAAAACCAATAATTTTCTTTATGTAATGATTAATCAAAGATACTCACCTATACTTCATTTTCCATCTTCTCATGATATGTTGGTCAATTATATATGTGTACATGTCACAAAGATGGCCCCTTGATCATCCCTCGAATCGCCCACAAACAGAACTGTTAACTAGTCTGTTTTATTTTTAAAACAATACATCGAACAAAAACATTATACTTTATAAATATTTTGAAAATTTCAAAAATATTGTCGTTCGCATCCAAAATTCTCTTTGGAGAATGCCATTGTTATTAGAACCGAACCAAATCACTTCCTTTATAACACATGAACGATTCTGTTAATAGTTAACAAATTATTCTAAAATGATTAGTCGCTGAACCATAATCCATAAATGTCTATAGTTTAAGCATGTGGTATGGTTCTTAATATAGAGGAGAAAGCTTCATTTCATCAAAGCCTCTCTTTTGGTTCAAAATCTAGATATAATATGTATCCTCACTAAATAGATGAAATAAATCCAATAATATACTAAAAGTCTAAAATTGAATGTTTGCCATGACTTGTCATCATGACTTATATGTTGAAGTATGAATCTCTTGGGGGGAGGGTGATATATTGTGTAAAGCTAGATTCTTTTATTCTTTGGGGCGTGCAAAGTGTAAGACTAGATTCTAATCATTCATTAAATTTATATTTTAATTATTGTTGCTTGTTTTATCTCTATATGTTTGCCAACTACTTAGTCATTTAACGCTTGTACATTTTCTATTCACATCTCGAGATGCGAATTGAGCTGCTCATATCATAGCGCGACAGGCCTCCGCAATTATGATCTCAACAATTCTCTTAACGATTTCACCTACCTCATTTGTGTCATAGCTAGTCTAAGTGAGAGAATGTTGTTATTATTGTAACATTTTCCTAACTCTTATCTGGTTTATCCTAAGGATATATATGACAAAGAAAAAACAAACACTACTTTTCAACATAATCAATTCCAAAATTATGCCATAAATCAATTTATCTCAACAACTCAAATTTGTTGGAAGAGGCTCATGAATGGATCTTATCCAGTTTCTTAACTATCGTAAGTTAATAGCCATCCATCATGTCATCATGATAGATTCGATGGTAGTCATAAGATTGGATGAGCACTATACTTCCACATAGATATGGCGGGGAGCCATAAAGTGGCCTAACTGTCCAAAAAGACAATGGTATATTTTTCAAGGTAAAAATTATTTTGGTGTCAGAATTATTTATTTTTTTGGGTTTATAACAAACGAGCACTTTGTCGATAAATAATTGAGCATAGAGGTGGCAATTGGATCGGATTCGTGGATTGGATTGGTGGATCCATAGATCAAATGGATTGGATTCAATGGATTGGTGGATTCATGGATTGAATCAAATGGATTGGTAGATTGATCCATGAATCCAAATGACATACAAAGCTTGGACCAAAATGTAAAATTTGAAAAGTTTTGGTACTAAATTATCATAATGAAAATTTTTAGGTACCAAAATGTAATTTTCCAATAATATTTTTCGTATAAAATATAACTGTTAGGTACCAAAATGTAAAATATAAAAAATATAGGTACCAAATCGTAATTTGTCATTTGGATCCATGGATTGATTCATGAATCCACCAGTCCAATTGGATTTGGATAAAATGGATTGGATTAGGTGGATAATTTGGTGAATGGATTGGATGGGATTCATGAATTTGGATCCTAATTGCCACATCTAATTGAGCAACTAATCATTCTCAAACATTGATTCTTTAAAGTAAGTTTTCGAACACGCGATAATAAAATAATTTAATAAAATGAGTGAATTTGTACACCTCTTCTCTCTTTCAGTTTCACCGAGGTGGAATGGATAGATTCATAAAAAGGTTAATTACAATCACGAGGGCTGATTTAAATATAAGCTAGAAGTGGAAGAAGGTCAGCCAAGCACATCGTACAACAATACACAGAATACTACTCAATTAATTACCGTTATCCCGAAGAGAATATATGGGGAGAATGTTTTTGGCAGGTGTTGGGATATGGATTAATATGTCTACACGACTATAAACGGGTCTAAGCTCATTGTAAGGCGTCCCGGGCCCAAGCCCACTTAAGGAGGCCCATGCTCTATATAAGGAGGCCAAAGCCTCCAAGCCAATGGATTCTCTCTTCCCTTCACACATTATTACCCTAAGGTCTCTCTCTAAACTCTCTCTCTATATATCATAAACCGCATCCTATATCGTACTAACTTGGGCGTCGGAGCGTAGATCCCGGGGGCCGCCCCCCGCCTCACAGGTTCTTCCACTCCCGAGGAGATCAGACGAGGGAGTTCAGATCGGAGCCCCATAACCGCCTAGTACATTCTAGACTCAAACAATTGGCGCCCACTGTGGGGCAATGATCTGGATAATCTAATGTTTGATTTCTAAAGGGGAAAACCTGTTCTTCCTCTACCGCCCGCCAAGCCCGCCAAGGCTCACCGGAGAAAAGACAACAAAGAAACAGGAGCCTCAAGCAAATCGGGGAAAGAATATAAGTCTCTCATAAACATAACTGGATGGAGCTGGGAAGTCAATATTAAAAGAGAAAATTAACAACAACTACGAAATCAATTTTCTATATCAATATTTTCAAGGGCAATGTCTATTTTTTACCCAAACCTTTTTTAGATTCTTTTATTTTATCCAAACTTATAGAAATTCTATTTATTATCCAAACGTATTATAATTTATCAAAGTCTGGGCATTCATTATGTTACCGTTACTTATTTCGTCCACGTGAGAGGTGAGATTTTGTTTTGTTTTTTGATAATCTTTTTATTAAAAATAGTAAATGATGGTATTCTGACCGCCACGTAGGAAGTCAACTAATTATGGTCATACTTAGTCGGCATTACTAACAGAAAAGTTGACGTAGAGTTAACGTTTGGATAATTTTTAGGAATTCAATAGGTTTGGTTAAAATAAAAGAATCTGAAAAAGGTTTGGGTAAAAAATAGACATTGCCCTATTTTCAATAACTCAGAACTTTGTGAATTGTTCATATATGATTCTATGAATTCGTGAGCTATGTTCTCGTCATAAGTGTCGAGTAAGTTATTAAGAATTTTAATTGAAGTGAGAAAGTGTTGTTGATTATTATTTCATTCATCATGCAGTATGAATAGCTATTTTCTTCCAACGCCTAGGCACGCTTAGTCTACCCTTAGGCGAGCTAGGCAATAAGCAAAGTCTCAACGTCTGCTTTACGCCTAGCGCCTTTTTCAACCTTGCTATAAACACAAGAATTTATGGTGATAAACCTATAAATATCTATATACGATAAAAGTTATATGCTTAGTTACTTCTAAATATATAAGTGGTTCGATAAAGCTAGTTATACATTCTTATTTTCCATCATTTTCTTAAGATAACATGCACTCCAAATTACTTCGACCTCCAGCCTGCATGTGGTGTGGAGATAGTTGATTGGGCCGTTGATTTGCGTACATATTTTTTATATAGAGAAAGATTCTTTGTTATCGATGTTTATTCACGTACTCAATATTATTTATTCGTGCCATTATAGTGTTTCAAAAAATTAATTTTTAGATTTTGAAATAAATCAAAGTAAAAGCAATTGTGTAGGTTATAATTAATGCAACTATTTTTTACAAAATATTGAAAAACAAAGTTTAACTCCACAAATTATTGCCCATACAAATTTTTAGAAAGAAAAAGTTTGGAGTTGCATTAGGTGTTTTGTCTCAACATGAAATCAGATCAGGAAACTTTTCAAAAGCTACAACGGATTTCAAAAGCCCAGAGAGGAAGCCTAGTCTAAAGTTGGGCCCATAATTCATGTGCACCATCACCACACCACACGCCAAGCACAACAAACAAGTCCGCTTCTTCGTGGCCTTTCTTGTTCTTTTTCCAATCACTGGCTGACGCCATTAAGCTCAGCCCAATCAAATGGCCTCGCAAAATCTCTGCATATATGGTGGAATCATGGTGGGTATTCTTCAGGAAAACCTACTAATCTCGACGGATTTTTTATAAGAAAATTCAATTATCGAGTTGATTGGGTTGCTCGATGTTGCACTCATAATGTATTATCAAGTAAACGGATCACAGTTTTGAATCTTATTTGGACCCTTCTGTAAGGGTCGTGCAATGCACATTTATGAAATGCACAAAAAAAAGTACAACTTCCCAACAAAAAAAAAAATCACAGAATAGTAAATTTGTTTGCGGATGAATAATTGAGCAACTAATTATCGTCAGGTATCAAATTTATAAAGTATTTTTGGAACACAATAAAGGAATAATTCAAAAAAGAATGGGTGAGTTCGAACACCTCTTCTCTCTTTCAATTTGATTGAGGAGGAATCATCCGGAAGTGGAATGATTAGATTCATAAAAGGTTAATTTACAATCACAAGTGATTATTTAAATATAAGCTAGGACAGGAACTAAGGAAGGGAGAGACATGCACCACATACAATACAATACATAGCCTACTTAATTAATTAATTATCGTCTCTAGTAGAATATATGCGTTTACATATCCATAAAATTTGCTAGAAAACAAACATATCACACACCACACCAAATTTATTGAATAGCTAGCTCAAACAAGGAAACACACTTACGTACGTATCCAAACTCCCGACCATGGCCGCGGCAACATTGCACATCTACATCTCTATATAAGCATGTGCTCTGTGAATCCTTTCTGTTTCACAAACATATTTAGATAAAAAGGGATTTGCAGCATGTTGATCAGCAATATACATATGGAGAGGAGAATGTCGTTGGCAGCTGGTGCGGCTACAACCATATTAATAGTAGCTCTGATGGCTCCATCTTCATGCTCAGCAGCTGAGCGGGACAACCACGGGTGCGGCCGATACGCCAACGGGACATGGGAATTTTGCGACTCGGGCCGCTGTTGTAGTGTCGAACTCTACTGCGGCGACGGTGACGATTACTGTGGCAAAGATCGTTGTTGGTACCAATGTCCTCTTCCTTCTGGTAATTATGGTCATCAAAGTAATTATCAAGTAGCTGAAACTGGTGGAGCTGGAGTACTAGTAGCCACGCCCACACGGCTTGTTAACGCTACGCGCAATAACCAATATTTGAATTTGAATCTCGGTGGTGGTGGTGGTGATGATCATGATGAGCTCGTCAAAGTGGTCGCCAACGACAATGCTTCTTCTTCCTCGCCGCCGTGATCTACAATTACTCATAAAATAAAAATTAACTTACAAATTAAAAAAAAACATATTTACAGTTTATCATCTTTGGCTATACAGTTTTATAATGTTTGTCTTCTGTTTCATTTTGTTTCCTTTCCTTGTTCTGTCTGTTTAATCTTTTCTGTAATACCATTTCACCATAATAATAATAAAAAAAATTACGTGGGAGATTTTCTTTTACAAATACTTAAAAAAAAAATTAACCATGGAATTCTCTTCCCAATTGTAATTAACAAAAACATTGCACTTTTTTAGATAAATCCCAAAAAAATTCCATATTAGAGTGTCATCAAAATTTTCTTTTCAGAAAACTCTGATATTTAAAATGAATTGTTCTTCTCGACACATATGTTAAACTAAGAAATCTCTTAAAACGAGATGTGTCTATATTAATGCCCTTGATTTTAAAAGTATACAATACACCGTATTTGTATATAGTAAAATTACATTGTAATCATTAAGGGGTCGTTTGCTTCATGGATTTAAAAATGAGGGTTTTGTAATTTAAAAAACCAAGGATTTATCAAGGATTTGAGGCATCATGGATTTGTAACAATCCTTTGTTTGTTGGGATGTTTTTATCATGGATTTATAGGTGTGGGATTTACTACTTGAAGTCAAAAATTACATTACTGCCCTTTTCTATATGTTTGACATGTTTATGATATGTACACAAAACAATGACAAAACTTCAAAATTACATTACTATCATTTTCTATATGTTTGACATGTTTATGATATGTACACAAAACAAGGACAATACATACTAATAAGCATAATGTTGCCACATGGACAATAATAATAAACGAGAAAATTCCGTTTTAACTTTTAACGTAACATAATCAATTACCAATTCTTTGTCCTCCTTTTCAAAAGTGACATATAACAACATATATTAGAATCGGGAGAACAAAGAATTACACGTTCCATGAAAAGGTCAAAGAAAACTAGAACACAAGAAATGATATAAAAAATCTAACTCATGTTTGCACATTAATTGAACGTTTATATGATTCATTTATTGTTAATTATAATGTATAATAGTTAAATTTGAGGGCAACCTTGGAATATTAAAAGTGCATGAGGGTATATGGGTAAAATATCATCAAGGATTTATGCCATATTCCAAATCCCACATCAACATGTGGGATTTATAAGTCCGTGGGGTCCATGGATTTGGACCCTTAAAATCCGTGGGCCCCACGGATTTGGTCTCCAAAAAAGGTGCAAGCAAACAACGGATTGTACCTAAATCCTTGATAGTTGATTTTTTGGTACCAAATCCTTGAAGCAAACGACCCCTAAATTTAAATTTAAATTTAAAGTTTCAATTGATTTGATATTGTCCATTGTATTACATTCATTAATCATTAGCATTGATGTTCTCACCAAAAAAAGTAGTCACTCAGCCCATCTGAAAGAGGGATTGGGGCGACGCCGGATAGCCCGCCCGCTGGATAGTTGTGCAACAGTATGATTTTGTCTGAAACAGGAAAACAGATCCAAGTTGGTTACTTGAACGGATTTGGAGAAAAGTAAGTCCGGCCCAATCAAAGTCCATCTTGGCCCAATAAAAAGTCCAATTTTGATTACAAGAATCAGTTTACTGGGTTCGGGCCCACCGCATATTATCTGTAGATTAAATGATCCCACCCTTTGAGGCTCATTTAGTGGCCAAAAAGTCTCTGAGTTTGTCGCCTCGGGTCCTGTCGAGGTTCGACTATGTGTCTTGGTTACGTAGTTTGTAATTGACGGTGTGTGGATCTTATCTCCATCTCGTTTGAGATCGGTTGAATGGCAAAAAAAAAAAATGATCCCACCCTTTTCCTATATAAATCCGGATACCATAAGTTCAAATTACTTGCACTAGCAAAGTGATTAACTCCTCTCCCAGAAATTCACCGTTCCCTTTTCCCCATTGATTCCCCTGCCATGGTTTCAACTGGTTCAACAGCATTAGAACACTAGCGGAATCAGCCAACCTCACTCGCCTTCCCGCCTCCCACATTTACACTTGCGCTACAACTGCTGGTCATGACGACTTCCACGCATCATCTTCTAATTCGACTCTGTCGGACCAAATTTCGGTCATCGATTTCTCCTTGCTGTCAGCTTCTGCTGGAAATAGCACTACCCATCAGCGCTCCAAAGCCATCCGAGACCTCGCTGATGCTTGTCAAAAGCCCAAAACCCGAATTACTTTGGGTAGGGTAACAGATATGTCCCGACCCGATCCATTGACTGCTACAGTAATTTTTATAAACACTAGTTAATTGTAAAATTAGCTGAGATAATACCATCTTATTGGTTTGGGATTTGGGGTTGTTGCAGATTCTAAGCAATGGAAAGTACAAGAGCGTGGTGAACAACAAGGCGACGAGAATATCAGTGGCCGTCGCTAACGGACCGTCGCTTGATGCGGTGGTGAAGCCGGCGCCGGAGTTGATGTCCGTGATGCAGAGCCGGTCGCGGTACATGGGGATGAAATACAGAGACTACATGCGCCTTCAGCAGAGCAACCAGTTGGATGGCAAGTCTTGCTTGGACAGGGTTCGCCTTTACTAGCAACCAATTCCATTTATAGGACAGATGAATCAAGCTTTAGTTGTCACATATTGCTATATGATCATGTTTTGTATTATTTCATGAATGCAATAACAAATTACTTAAGTCCACTTATATCATAATCTTATTCATGAAAACTAGTTGCATCTCAACATGGTACCATCAATTCTCACAACTCATATGAGTAAATGCTGAGCAACTGAAATGGGCTGAAAAACAGAATCAGACTCCAAGACCTGCACAAGCTGCGGCCACAAGATAGCTGAAACAGTCCATGAACCATCATTCCTCCCGCTCTCCCTTTGATTCAAATACCCAACTCCGATCTTCTCAATCGTGGAACTCACCGTCCCCAAAACCGGACTCCCAAACCCAAACTCCAGTTCTGCCACCGGAAACTTCCTCCCCGACGAAACAACCACCGCCGCCGGAGCACCACCACTCCCTCCTCCTCCCAGCACTATCCTTGCCATCACCAGCCCAGGCCGGTGGCACTCGATCCAATCCATCAGCTCCAAGAAATGATCCTCCCTCGTCGCCTCCGATATAGCCTCATGAACCCTCTTAGCCACTTCAGCAACAGAGTCTCTCTCCAACTCATCCACGTTGGCTTCTCCCACAGCCAAAGACAACACATTTCCTATGTAATTGGACATGGGATCGTTCTTAAGGCTCCCTCCCATCCTTCCACGGCCATCCACCAGCCAACCCATCTTGCATTCCTTGCAATCAACAGCTTTCACCATCGCCTTCCATACGTATGCGGAGAGAGCTTCGATCTTCGTTCTTTTTGTCCCTCCTGCAGATGCCATTACTTGTAGCCTGTCGATGCAACGTGCTTCTATATGGTACAGGCGCTTCACCATGGTGGTAGTGGTGGTGGAGACAGGCATGTTGAGGATCTCGTCGATGGTGCATCTAACGAAAGTGCGGTCCAAGGACGGTTGGTATCTTGGCGGGTCTCGCGGCTTGAGCAGTTCCCTCCTCCGATGGTCCGGGATGCAGGACAAGGATTTATGCTGCGAAATCTCCGACCAGGAGCAGAGAAACTTGCTGAACGAGGCGGCATCACCCAGGGCATGATCGAAGGTGAAGGTCATAGAGACACCTCCACAAGTGTAGCGTGTGACCTGGACCTGGAATAGAAAGTCAGGGGACAGGGAGACCAGTTTACCTTGCGTCACAAGTTTGTCGAGGTTGTAGAAATCGAGCATCTTCAATGGGACATTGGCACGCGCCTCAACAACGAGGGCACCTTGGTTGTCGCAGATGAACTCCAGCTCGGTGGTGGACGGATTAGCAACAATCCGACCGGAGAATGGGTAGTAGTAGTGGAGAGTCTTGGCAAGGGAGAAGCTGAGGGAGTCCATGATGCAGGGGAAGTCGATGTTGTGAGAGTTAGTGTAGAAGTAGAGGTATGTGACAGGGAAACGGCCAGAGAGGAGGTCGAGGTTTGAGAGAGCCAAAGTCGGGTTTTGGGAAGAATCAGTGGCAACTGCTTTCACAACTGTTTTTGCAGTTACGGTTACTTCAAGATCCTCCATTTTTGCAGTTAGAGTTACTTCATGATGTAGGAAAAGTAAAGTGCCTTCAGAACGTATATATAGAGGGAGATTAGTGTAAGCATGGTGAAGTGATGTGAAGTGGTGGTGACTGGTGACACTATCATTGGCAACTCCAATATGGAGAATGGACTCTGAGACAGAATACGGAAAGGGAAGGCATTGGAGAAAAAGAGTACAGAGCACAGGGCCGAGAGGAAATACTGTTTTGTTGGCTGAGTGGTCAAGTTTGGCAGACAGCATCATTTAAGGAAGATTGTGGGTACTACTGCTGCATAGCAACAAGGATACGACATCACCTTTGACGCCTCTAAATGCAAAGGCTTGACAGCAGCAGGCTATTCCCACTGTTTGGGGAACTTGAACCAGTGGGTCTAATTTGTCAAGCTAGGCTTTTCAGCACAATATGATTGGCAATGCAGGCCACTAATATCTTGCAAAAGCATTCAGCAAAAACAATTATTTTCCGAAGGCTTGGTTTCTACCAGCATAAATGCAAGAAGTCCAACAAATTGAAAAGGTATCACTAAGGATCAGGAACCTGATGGGTAAAGGGACGGGTCAAGTAATGGAAAGGACCATATTACCAGTAACCAGCCATACATTTCTTTATGCGATATTGCGCAAGCAAACAGAAACCAGAAACAAACAACAAAAAACCCAAAAAAGATAACACCCAGCTCCATGAGTAAATGAAGCTGTAGTTTGCAACATTCAGACCCCCTGATCCTGTACAACACAAAACTTAACAGAGGCAAAAAAGAAAACTAGATTCAGCAAAACTATACAGGATGACGGCTTACTAGCAACTTGGCGCCTCTATTTCTATGAACTACTTAATAGTTACCTCAGCTGGCTGGCTTGTACTTTGGACGGTTCAGAAATTACCAAATCTGTTGGTTTGAATAACCACCACCATACCTGTTACCATATGATTGAGGACCAGTGCCTGACCCTGGACAGTCTTTAGCCCAATGCCCAGACTGGTGACACTTATAGCATTCGTCTCCACCTCCGCCTCTTCTGCCGCCCCCTGCATCAGTTCCATACAACGTTCTATTGGCATAAGCCCCTCCTACTGGCTGCTGGGGACTAGTAAAGGTGCTAGGGCAATTTGAAGCTGTATGGCCTGTGGCTCCACAGCTGTTACATATGATAGGTCCCCCAGATGAATTCGATGTAGGAAACCTTGAGTTATATTGGTTATCGTGCTGGCTGACTTGATTAGCCGGGAAGGCCATTGAACTCAATCCTGTTTGCCTACTTCCAAAATTCCCCTTTCCAGGACTACTCAGCAAAGAATTTGTGTAACTACTTTCTACCTTGGGGGCTGGAGCAGTCAGGTTCCCAGATTTGAAGTTTTCCATCAAACCCAGAAGGGTTTTGGATACGGATCCATAGTTCACCTTCTCTGCCTTGACAACACTAGACTTCACTCGTTGCTCATCACTGAATGTTTCCTCTTTCACTTTCAACTTGAATATATATTTGTTAAACATAACTTGACGAAGAACTTTCAGAAACCCGTCGTCATCTTGTTTCTCAAACTTCATAAAATGAAGATCTTTAGCGGATATTCCCATAAGCTCCTCACCTGATTCCTGGAAAGCAGTTACCCATGTTAAGCCCGTGTGATCTTGTATCTGAAGCGAGAGTATGTACCTATAATCACATTCATCAACAGATTGATCACACCGGTCACACCGCCACCTCCCATCTCCATTGTTTGTAACCTTTTTGTTACATTGTCGGTCCCCAATCATTAGAGGGCAAGATGTATAGCAAAAATTATCCACCTTTATGTATATCACAGATGCATTGACACTAATCCAATCTGGTTTTTCAGAAGTCCCAAGGTTCTCATCTTTGATTTGAGCGATAGTCTTCACAGCATCAGTCCTTCCTGCACCAGAGCTTTCCCTGGAAATAGAAATTGAAGGTGTATTTTTACCATCCTTGTCAAACCATTGTTTCAGATTATTAGCCTCCACAAAATCAGGCTCGATAAGTAGCTGACTTGTAGAAATAGTACCCACAGCCTTGCCATTAAAGTCATTAACCCTGCCAGATTTGACTGCCAGAACAGGGAAGTGACCTGAGTCACACATATTTTGCAGTTCTTGCCCTTCTGCATTACAGAAGTTTCCCCACAATGTCAATTCAACACTACGGCCAGACATATCTTTCAGCTGTAGACTTCTCTTCCGAGTTTCTGTGCCATTTTTTCTCATTATCGAGGATGCTGGACAAACGGAGAATACCATGCCAATTACATCCACAATACTGTTGTTATCCATCCCCTCAATCTCACTTATTTGACGAAAATGAAATTGCTGCCTCGGAATCGAGTTGTCATCATCATGACACTGCTGTACAGTTGAGCCACTCTCCAGGAAAATCTCTAGATCGTTATGAAGGTGATTGAAGTTCTTTTGGGAAGGTTTTAAGGTCCCTTTGGAAATTAAATACACCCTGCCAACTTCAATCTGGGAGTAGAACTGATCGGCAACAGCATTAAAGCAGGTCACTCTAATTTCGCCTCCATCAGAATCAAGAAGATCAAAAGAAAATACTTTCCCGTCGCCACGAGTATTGTTATAGTGCCTCATTTCTGCTTTTGCTGTCACCCTAGCCTTAATAGTCCACCTTCCCTGGTATGGATTCAAAGCAGTAATTGGAATGATCCTCGCGGGAGCTTCATTCCTTGTCACTGGTCCCCTGTTGTTGTACATTGGAGGCGGTTGCTGATATGCTGGCCTAGACATGTTACCCGGAGAAACCCCAGTTCCTTCCTGCCTGGAATTGCGGAAGCCTGGAGACTGGTTAGCATATGGCATTCCTGATGGCAATGATCCTACTGATGTAGCACCACCGTCAGACTTAATGCCAAATGAAGACACAGTGGAACCACCTGCATTTCTTGCGGAATCATAACCCATAGAATAAAGACCACTGTTTGGTTGATTAACCCTAGGATATTGCACAGAGTTGGCAGGTATATTTAGGTTTGAAACTGCCCGACCAGGAAGGGCACTGCTGCCAGATGGTTGAGGGCTTGAGAAAGTATTTGTTGGCTGGTGTGCTGGTGTATTTGGTGTCCCTGACGACTTTTGCAATGAGACAGGTTGGCCAATTGGAGGGCATTCTTCAATCACCACAGCCAAGTCAAGTATAATAATAATCCTGCGCACAAGAAAAATAAGTGTCACCAAATCAAATACCAGACTTTTCGACCAAAAGGAGACAATTTTAACGAATTCAGATATTTGTTGCGACACAGGCTATTAGTTTTCTTCCTCCGATAGTAATCTCTCGTACCCATAATACTCATGTGATGTCCCAAATGAAAATCTCACACATCTAGCATTCTAATTCCTAAGTATCAGAGCAAATCAAGTGCTGCAAGGAAAAACCCATCAAATGACAAATTTAGAACAGAGATATGGATGGAAAACTCACATTCTCTCTTGGATGATGGAGCAAGAGTACTGTTTCATGTGGACTATGGAACCAGCTCGCAACTTTCCTTCTTGCACCAAGGGATTAAGCTGAGTGCCGAGCATTGCCTGCTGCAAGTGCGAACCATCGGACAGCAGAAGCCTGAACCGGTCGCCTTGCTGCTTCTGTTGCTGTTTCGCCTGGACCTTCCTCAGCTCCGTCACTTGCAAAGTCGGCTGCAGTTCCCCCGAATTAACGCCTCCGGCAATAAGGGCGATGGCGCCTTGTGTTAGATCCGCCATTGCTGGAGCCGCGACACTCTACCCTAGCAGGAGCAGGAATCAAGAAGTGAAATCCGGTATTCAGATTCCGAGATAGCGAGAGCGAAAGGGCAAGAACAGTCACTGGGCAATCGACGGAGGAGAGGAAGAGAAAAAGAACGCGGACGATTTGTTGGGTTGGGTTCTGAAATCTGGAAGCAAAAAATAAAAATCAACAAAACCCTAAAGGAGAGAGAGATTGAGGCGCCATTTCGAATTTAACTGCTTTTCTGAGAGGGAAACTCAAACTAAACTAGTCTAGAAAGGCCGAATATTTACATATGAGGTCATCATATTTTCCATCAATCACAATCGGATCCCCCCACTAGCCAAAGGATGCGTTGCGAGTTGCGACGGCAGTTTTTCTCGCCCACGTCCTAGATGTGCTTCTTTAATACGCTAGCCGTGGTGAGTCGTGGCGTGCCTTATTTTTATTTTTAAATTGGGTGTAACAACCTGTAAAAGGCCATTACTAGTGATGGGCTGATGGCAATGGGCGGGTCGGGCCTGGTACATCAGCACTCATATTTATCCCACATTAAGTGCGCGTTAGATTGAGTGATAGTGTGTATTCGTGTGAATTCGGACAGAGGAGGTCGATCCACTCTTATATGTCATTTGAAAAAATAACGTTGTTATTTAACTTTTTTGTAAGAATACGTAGAAAAAAAACTTCTTACACAAATGATAGCTATAGTAGAATGAATAGTTGCATTTTAATGGTTGAAAGATAAAGTTATAAATTATTTTAGATGAAACTGTCATTTTAAAATATGATCAAAATATGAGAAATATAATTAGATAGTGATACATAGAAAGGGGTTGAACGAGGTAGGACAGTTCAAAAGTAATACTCATGCCCGCCCCACATTATTGCGGGTCGGATAATACATACTCCAAACATGTTAGAGCAAGTCAGATTGTGCAAGTCAGATCATAATTGTCATTGCTAGCCACTATTAAATTTTATTTTTGTTTTACCATTCGACACCTTGTGATCTAGGGAAGTCTATTGCTGTACGAGAAGCTTGGTTTTTTTATCATATGATTTTGAATAACAAATTTTGTAAACTAAAAAGAGTATTTGTAAAACTTTTTTTTTATTGGTATTTGTCAAACTTATGTTGGTGTTATATATAGTTCTCCCAACGTGTTGTTATGTCTACATGTGTATGCCAGTCTTTTTTTTCAATCACGATTTGATACCTCGTTCTTTAGAGCATCACATTAATGCAATTGCAAAACTAATTGCATATCAGATTTTTTTTTGTCACATCAATGTTTTCGCAAAACCTCATGTCATCTTACAATTAAAAATGTAAGATCAATGTGGATGCTCTTATTCAAATTTGTATTATATTCCATTCCATAACCAAATCAATTTCCCAATTCATAACAAAGAACTCGTGTTTTCGATCGGAGTTCAAATTCTTACACTTCACATACTCCGTTTCGAAATATCTTCAACATTGTTAAAAAAATCAAAATTAGATAAATTATGATAAGGTGCTTCACATTTTGAAAACAAAATCTATGTTCACACGATAGACTCTAAAAATTCAGCATGCAAACACCGAAATTTTGAAATCAACAGTAATAAGTAACAAGTTACCAATTTTGAGATATAATTTCCAAATGACAAACTTAATCCATACTAGCTATACCTAGCCAGCTAGCCTCTCTAGCTAGGAATAATCGTCATGCATGCCAATTAAAAGATCCGCAGAACTCCATCTGCAATTACGATAAAGAGAAACAAAGTCATTAGAAATAGTCTCAATTTCACTGCTTTCGCTACCATTTGTTGCAACTTGCATGCACGAGCACGAGAGCTAATTGTTCAAACTTCGGTTGCAGCTCTCGACGACTTGGCCCAAAGTCTTTTCGAGGTGGCCGCGCCTCTCATGCAAGCGAGTGTTTTGTTCCGTCAGGCTTCTGTTTTGCTCAATGATCCGGCTTAAGTTCTCCTCTAAATGATTGTATTTCTCGTACAAACGCTTGTTCTCTTCTGTCAGCCGCTTGTTCTGCTCAACGACTGTGCTCACGACTTTGTCTTGGTTACCACATCTCTGCTGCAGACGAGTGTTTTCTTCTGTCAGCCTCTGAATCTGCTCCCTAAGCTGTGCACATGGCTCGCCATCGAGTGGTGCAGAGCTCGCGCCTGACGATTGAGGATTTGCAGAAGCATTCGCCGCCATTGGTTGCGCTGTTGGCGGCATATGGTGTTTCGGTAAAGCCATTTTCAGTAAGGAAGGAGAAGGAAGGCCAATCAAAGCAGATTCTTCCACCACCACAGCCAATTCAAGTACGATGATAAACCTGGATACAAGGGGGGAAAAAAACAAAATATTCTCGTCGAAGACATCTAAATCATAAAAACAATTATACGATGTCAAGAATCAGTATTCGAAGACATCTAACTTATAAAAGGTTCTAATATGATGTCAATAATCAGTTCGTTTCAATAACTCGAATTACGAAAACCACTATATATGAGATTTAAATTTGCACATATTCGAATATCATGTACTTAATAAATGGGGTCAAATTGAAAGGTATCCACACAAAAGACTTTTTTTTTATTTAGGTAGGAAGTTAATAGGTAGGGAATTACAAAGAGTTGAAAAATAAATAGCGGTAGTCAGCCAAGTGCTAAACTACCGATGCAAGAGCCGTTTTCGCCACGCAATGGACAACCCTGTTAGTTCTACGGAGAGAAACCGAAATGAACAAACGCAAACGAGGCCTTCATCAAACGAACTTCCTCTAGGATCGCTCCCCCACAGTTATGGTGGATATCATTTTCCAAAACTCGCCGAATCACCCGTTGGAAATCACAAAAAAACAAAAAGACGATACACTCACATTTTATTTCGGATGGTGGAGCGAGCGTACTGTTTCAAGTGAAGTATGGAACCAGTTCGCAAGTTTCCATTTTGTACCAAGGGGTTAAGCTGAGTGGCGAGCACGGCCTGCTGCAAGTGCAAGCCATCGGACAGCAGAAGCTTGAAAGTTGAACCGGTCACCGCCCCGCTGTTTCGACTGGACGCTCTTCAGCTCCGTCACTTGCAAGATCGGCTTCAGTTCCCTCGGAGAAGCGCCTCCGGCAAAAAGAACGATGGCGCCTTCTGTTAGAACCACCATTGTGGTCAGGTACTCAGGTGTTTGGTCGCTGATCAGAAACGGACGGAGAAAGAGAAGAAGAACGGGGATGGGTTTGGGTTTGGGACCTTGGGTTCCGGCTTTGTGAAGAAGAAGAAGAAGATCAAGAAGACCCCAGAGGCCAGAGGGGTGAGGGGTTACTTGTTTCGGATCTAACTGGCGTTCCAACTTCTAATAGAGGAAAATGAAAGGCCTCGAACCGTTTAAATGGGATTGCAGTAATTCACCATTTGAAGTAAACTAGGGTACTTTAGAGATTAACTAGGTAAAAAGCTGGTGCTCCGCAGGGGATATTCAATTATTAAGATTGGTATTTTGGTAAATACGAAATGTTAACAAAAAATAAAAACTCATACAACACAAGTTTTAATTGTGTAATTCGGTAAATGAAACAATATAATCTAATATTGGTTCAAGAAAGTGAGTGTTCAATTAAATATAACCCAAGGTTGAAGCTACTAATCGTCAAATTAGTATTAAAATACTACACTTCAAAGCTATGAGCCTGTAAGAGTAAATTTGACTCAGATAGCCAATTAGGCTTCATATTCAAAAATAGAACTCTAAGCAAGAAAGGAATTATTTGAATAGTTGAAAATCTCACAATAATTGTCAATCAAAATGAAAAATGGTTCACCAAAATACACGTGATAAACTAACCTTTAGTTGAATAGTCAGAACTTACAAAGATTTTTTATTTATATGAATTTAAAAATGAAAAATGCATCACTTATATACACATGATATGAATATAGTAGATCGGTCGATTTCTAGTTAAATAGTATAAAAAAAACTAAAAAATGCTAATAAATAAGAATTTGAAAATGAAAAATACATAGCGAAATATGGTAATATATGAACAAAGATTTCGATCTAATGATAACAAAACAAAAATTATAAAATAAAATAAATAATTTAGAGGATTATTAAAAAGTTCCCATACCCATATGTATAAAAGAAATGAAAAAGAGAATTGAGATATATATGTGTCCACTCGTAAATGAAGAAAAAATGACAAGAGAAATAAAAATTATACAAATATGTGCTCTTAGTGTAATGCCACTAAATTTGATGACAATAAAGTAAACCTTCGATGTGAAACTCATGTTTTATACATCAACAATGTTTGGGCCTATATTATGGGAAAATAAGTAGTATGATCCGACTAGTGTTCAACCGAGTTCTTACTAGCTTAACTGGTTTTCCATAAAGTATGCAGAAAAGTAAAAAATTACTGACGCCAAATACATATTATATATATTACGTACATATCTCAAAACAATTTCCCTATGTCAATATCGAAAAGTTCATACAACCGTACTCATGTGATGTCCCAAATGAAAATCTCAGACAACTAGCATTCTAGTTTCTAAGTACGTATCAGAACAAATCAAGGACCGCAAGTAAAAACCATATCAAATGACAAATTCAGAACGAGGGATGGATGGAAATAAACTCACGTACGTTCTCCCTTGGATGATGGTGTGAGAGTACTGTTTCATGTGGACAATGGAACCAGCTCGCAACTTTCCTTGTTGCACCAAGGGGTTAAGCTGAGTGCCGAGCATGGCCTGCTGCAAGTGCGAACCATCGGACAGAATAAGCTTGAACCGGTCGCCGTGCTGCTGCTTCTGTTGCTGTTTCGTCTGGACCTCCCTCAGCTCCGTCACTTGCAAGGTCGGCTGTAGTTCCCCCGAAGTAGCGCCTCCGGCAATAAGGGCGATGGCGCCTTGTGTTAGATCCGCCATTGTTGTCTTGTACCCGTAAAAAAGTACTCTACCCTAGCAGCAGCAGTAGTAATTAATTAACAAGGGGGGAAAGACTAAAGAGGAAGGGAACGCGGGCGGACGGACGATTTGTTGGGTACTTGTTGAGTTGGGTTATGAAATAAATACTCCAGAAAACCCTAGAGGAGAGAGTTTTCCGAGAAAGGCCGAATATTTACAACAGAGGTCATAATATTTTCCCGCAATCACAATCGTGGAAATTTGTACGGTATAGGTATGTATATCGAGTGTACCAAATATTAAAATTTTGATAACCAAATATTGTTCTAAGGGCTCGTTTGGATAATTGGAATCTAAATTTCTAGATTCTAAACAATTAAAAGATTTCAATTCTCACGAATAATGGATTGATCTAGTGATAATATCACTAGTATACAACCTGAAGGTTTTAAGTTTGAATCACTTCAGAAGTATCTAGCCACAAAAAGTATATATATGTATTACCCTTATAAAAAAATATTATAATTCTCTCGACTGTTGAAAAAAAAATCATTATTGTTAGCATTTAATGAAAATATAAATTCTAAGAATATATGAAATGACATGTTTACCCTTAACCAAAACAACCAAAGTGGCTCGAGAAATATTGATAGTTTATCGACAAGTGTATTTAGCGGGATAAGTAAAAAAAGGAAGGTATAAAGAAGGAGAAAAAAATATAAGAATTACAAATCAATATATAAAATTTCTCTGATTATGAGATATTTGATTTTAGCTCAATTATGGTAAAGTTTTGACAACGTTCAATCGTGCAGTATGATATACTCATATCTGACCAATAGGCCAGACAAAAATCCAAATCCTCATCTAAAGACAACCAAATGTATGAAAAATATCTCATATCATATCGACCAACAGAACGTTTACCAAAATGGCAATAGAGATAAATAATATATGTATAGGTCTATCGATTACGTAATGTCTACTGTATTTTACATAATGCGACCTGTAAAATCTGCTATAACAGTAGAAATTCAAGTTACGTTACTTCAATTTACCGTAAGAAATCCCAAAATAAGTTTCTTACAAACTAATTTCAGTGGCTTTAACAATATCTCTAGAGTAGGAATCTACTTGAAATACACTGCCAATTCTTTCTTGAATCTCATAAGTATAACTTGAAAACCATTAGTTTCTTCTAGACCTTGTACAATTCTAAAACAAAATAGATTGTGACTAATGTTCCATTAGTGAGATTAATGAAAGCAAAAACACACATAAACATCTTCAGCTTTCTTCTCCCCTTAACCAGGAAGGATAATCATTGAAATGTGTGCTTCACAGACTGAAATAGCTATCCTGATTCCTGAGGGAATCCTCCCCACTGCCAACACTACACACTACACAGCCTGCAGAGCTGCTTGTCTTCTTCATTTCTCTGTTTCAGAGTGTAAATTTTTATTCTCCCTATTGTCTATAAACAAAGAAATCTCATTGGTTAAAGCACCACAAAAAACTCCATTCCCAATCTTCCTTTAGCATTCCAAGAAAAAATGCCAACCACCATAAATCAATCCATCCATGATTTGGTCCGCTCTATAATAACATAACCCAACAGCCCACTTCTGCAGCAGCAACTCATTGCCCTGTTCCTCCCACCATGGACGAAGCATCAAACCCACATCAAAATGGCGGGTTTCCTTCCCAACCCATCACTCTATCCGCCGCAATCAGACGCTGCCTCCTCAAAGTTGCCATCAAAGGCGCCGAAAAGCTGATGATCGATGGCCGCAAACGCGAGAACGCGAGCGCTGCTTTCGCTGCCGCTCCTCTGGGAAACAGAGCATCCCCTGTTTCGACTCTGCAATCCTCTGGCTCTCAAATGCTAATGCTGGTCAAGAAGCAGAACCGATGGATGAATCCAAATCAAAATGGACTCTGTCTCACTCTCAACCTACTGAAAATTCCACAATTACTCATGATGAAGCTCATCGCCTTCCAATTCCATCTCCTGGCCTCTTTCCTCACATTCCCCATACGGGTCTCCACCAGGGCTCTGAAGCGGGCAGTATTGGGGCAATCGGCGATCAAGAACCCGGTGATGACCCTTTGCGGCGCTGTTGCCAACAGAGCCATCACCGACGCGAAGAAGAGGACGAGGGATGCGGGTGTGAAGTTGGGGCGAGCTGTTATCTGCTGTTGCTTCGTGGGAATGGTGCTTTTGGCAATGCTGGTGTCTGGGTTCTTGATGGGCAGCTTGATTTTGGGTTGGGTACTGGAACCGCCGTTTCAGGGGAAAGTAGCCTTGCATTTTGATTACACAAAGGCTTCTCCGGTGGCTTTCCTCCCGTTAGATCCTTCCTACTCTGGCTCTGGGACATTGTTGGGGAATCAAGGTCATGTTGTTCCGCACAATCGGAAAATGGAGGTGACTGTGTCGTTGGTGATGCCGGAGTCGGAGTACAATCGCAACCTTGGCATGTTCCAGGTATTCTATATTATTTATCCCACATCCATGTTACATACTCTAAAATGAAGCAAGATGATGGCCGCCATTTTAAGGGACCATCCGTCAACAACTTTCTGCAGCCTCATGTCCATGGAATAATGTATAGATAACATTGGGGCAGGATGGGATGGGATGGGATATCATAAATTATCAAGTCAGTATTTTAATCAACAAGTTGGAAGCCTTATACACTGAACTAAAGTTGCAAGTTGTAGCATACTTACCTAGCTACATCACGAAAATGGCAAGTCTGTCCATGATGAGTTGATAAAATACCTAACCAATTATCATCATTTATGAGATTTTTTTATTAAATTATGAAGTTAGTAAAATAGAAAAGCTTCATTGACCAATTGGATAGATCAAGAAAACAGCAGTAGCAGCTGCAATAGGAGCTGAATATGCAACAGCAATTCAAGGGCGCATACCCAGACGGAAACTAAGTTCCCGCTCACGACCCATGTAACAAGCTACACCAAGTAAAAAGTGTGTAATATGGAGTAAATGCATACATAGTTTTATTCCTCATTTTAATTTTAATAGTATGTTTAAAAGTTCGGAATTAATTATAAAATATTTTATAATTTACAATTGAATATAGAGCTATTAAGTTATCGATATAACTGTTTAAAATATGTGATATACTTGTTTAGTATGAAGGTTTTACAATAATACAAGAACGAGAATTTTAAACGAAATTACTATGTAGAAGTGTATACAGGTATATTAAACGTTAATTTATTTTTAAAATGGCCCTTTAACGACGAGTCTCTCCGTCGCTAAAGGTCTTGATTGCTGTAGTGTTAACTTAATTCCTTCAATCGCTCATACAATTACGGTTGATGTTTTTATTCAATGAAGGTGAAGGTGGAGTTACTGTCAGCCAGCGGCGAAGTGACGACATCCACGAGCCGTCCATGCATGCTACCATTCAAGAGCCACCCATTCCGCCTGGCCGAGTCCGTCATCAAAGCCTTGCCGCTCTTGGCCGGCATAGCCTCCGAGTCCCAACTCGTCGACCTAACAATGGACGACCAACTACTCCCGCAAACCGCCGCTTCAATGAGAGTGTTGCTGGAACAACGAGCCGAGTTTCAATCACCGGGAGCCGGAATCCCACAAGTGTATGCAGCAACGTTGAAGCTCAATTGCGAACTTCCTCGAATGAAGATGCTGCTGTGGCAGTGGAGGAGGGTTGTTCATGTGTTGCTCGGCATCGTCTTGTTCTTCGCGCAGCTGGCGGCGGCGGTGGGTTTGGTCTTCTGCAGAGCGCTTTCTGTTCCGGCGGGAAGGAAGGCGAGTGATTCTATGGTGTTTGGTGGGAAGAAGAAGAAGAAGTATCTCGAGTGAAAGCGGTTTCGTGCATTGTACAGAGAACAGTGCTCTGCTTCATCAGTTACAGCCATGGCTGGGTTCTCGAGTTTCTCGATTGGGTTTAGGTAGTATTGGAATAATGGGATTAACATTTGACTGTAATAAAAGGGTTGCCAGATCTAATTTAACAGCATTATACCATTAGGGCAATGTTTCGTCAATTCAGTGGTGATGAGTGGAATTGAGATCTCCAAAACAATTGAGTTGATATGAGAATGTGTTCTTTTACCATGAGTATCCATTGTCCAATCTATATTCCCAAGAAAGCAGCAAAAGGAAGTGGAAGAAAATTTCATCTAATTTATACTCTGTACAAACTACAAAGTTGCAGATGGAGTTCTTACAGGAGAATCATGGTTTCGTTTGAGAGATCCACACTGCAGAATCAGTTCCGAGTATGTTGTACAATGCCTTGCCTGCAGACTATACTATACAAAAAGGTCATCGCCCGGTATCCTATCAGTAATACGCTCCGGTACTGAATCAATGCAACACATTATCAGAATTCAGAGACCAGTTACAATCAAGTAACCAGACCTATGATCACGAGGGGAGTGAAGTCCAGATTTCGGTCACCCAAAAAATGACTGGTAACGTTAACCCCATCTTCCACTGAATCAGTCTTCATTTTTCAGCCGTACAGCATTTCTCTGGAGTTGAAACTCAAGTTTCATCTTGTCGTTCTCATCTTTCTTCGCGGACAAGTTTGCAGCAGACTTCTCTTTCAAGGCTTCCTTCTCGAGTTTCTTCTTTTCAGCCTCGGCCAGCTTCTCATTTTCGTCCCGTGCCTTGTTGAACATCTTCACGAAGACGGCCAAGATTTGTGTCACTGCAGGGGAGAGGAGAGAACCATACTCAGCAACCCAATTTTGCATATAAAAAATTGAAACATGTACCAGAGTTCCTGGTCACAATCAACTTTAATCAAATAACACGAGATAATGGTCTCAGGTGGATCTAACTAAGGCCAAGGAAAGTGACAGCATTTAACAACTAGACCTTGCTCAAAGGGGCACCGAGCTGGATCCTCTCCAAAATACTGGGACAATCCATCTGCATTTCTTCCCTGCAAGATGATGCATCACAAAAAAATTAAGACAGCCACTGGCCAGCATCACATGCCTGACCATATAAGGTTGTAAGAAGATTTTTTAGGAACAAAGGAGACTCACCACTTCCGAGTACAACGAAATAAGTGACCTTACTTCAGCTTCAGCAGTATGAAGGAAGTTCTTCAGTACCTGGTTAACCCAACAAGGTTTATTACTTATCATGCAACGAAGGCACGTTAAACTGCGAGGCCTTCAGAAGTCGTTGTTTAAAATGAGAAATGATTAATAAAAACCTCTATCTCGTCCATACCTCAAGGGAAGGAAAAACAAACAAGCAAAAAACCTCTATCTTGGACAGCCGAGATTCAAACTGATCAGCAATTACTAAACCGAAAAATTAACCAACTCTCAAGACCGAGGATAGCTCCAAATAAATGCCAGAAAACCAAGTGATAAAGTAATATACATATAGCTTAACCAGAGCATTGAAGAATATTATTCAAGATCATCCTTACAAGCAAAAATGAATAGAGTTAACCAAGAGACAATCACTCTGACTTACCTTTTGGAAACCGGCAGATATAGCACCATCGTTTTCTGAAGCAGCGAGTTCCTGCTCAACCTTCTCAAGACCTTTGCTAACAGCCTGCATTTCTTCAGCTAGAGTTTTTAGTTGAATCTGGAAATCCAAAGTCGAAGAAAATTAGATAAATGAGGTTAATCATTTGAAGTACCAAAAATATACAAATAACAGAATATCCTATGAACTTCTTTTGTAACATACCTTAGAAGCAGCTTCCAAATGAGCAAGGTCTTTGCCAAAATCAAGCAACGTTGGCATTTTCTCAGCTAGGAGCTATTTAAGTGCAGATAATGAAACCGTTAGCAAAAGGAAAAGGATTAGCACAAGAACCAAACACAAAACCAATTGTAACACTAGAGGGACTTTAGACGAATCATTGGTTACTCACTTCGACAAACAAGCTATAAACTAGACTTAATCAGAATTCCAATGAACCATGCACAATGAGCATCGGATAACATGGTTTATTAGAAACATACTATACAACTGTTAAAAAATGAAAGATCCTCCTTGTAACTATTTCAGTGATCAACAATACAATGTGCATCCATTAAGTGAACAGACAAACATTTGCAAGTTGTCTCTGCCAAATGCAAATATTAGATATCAACTATTGGCTCACCCAAGAACATTTATATTTGCTTATTCAACCCTCACATGAATTGTTTTTCTAATAGAACAGATCAAACAAGCATGACTGTGACTTCAATTAACATGCATTCTAGAAAACGAAGAAATACAGGAGAAGCAAAATCTGTAATCACTCTTAGTTGGTGCTTGGCAGTCATCTCACTCGCAATCAAGATGAAAGCAAAGAACATTCAAGGTTGCATTGTTTATGACAAGTCAAAAAAGAAAGCTTGACAACAAAAGATAATTTCCAAGGCAAGCATAACGAAGCTCCTGATTACAAAATCTATGAAGCTCATTAAACAATTTCAAAGTAGGATAAATCTACCTTGCATAAATAGTGCATTAAAGTCATTTTGTTGTTTCTTGCACGAGTATCAGACAGCTTAAGAAGGCTGTCCAATTTGAATCCCACAGCAGATCCTACACAAAAGTTGGGAGCCACATTGATTAGAATGTGTTCGGGAAGAAACATAAGGCTCAGAGAATTTAACCAGCCCAAAATGAGAATTTAATGGGAGAAGACTCTGCTAAGTTGAACTGATAGGCCACCTCCAATACGATGGTGAATGGATCATAAGCTATTCCCCACAGAGATCAAGATCAAGCTTACACTGGGAGAACTTCAAGCTATGCAAGCAGCTTGGGACAATGAACAAGCATGGAAAACAACTTTCTAAGACTGACTTTGTCTATCGGACTTGGTCATATTCCAACAAAGGTATACAAGCAGAAAGAGCTTGCTGCATTTTGTCGATAATAGATTTTTCCATATTCAGAATTTCTAGCAAAATAAGGAATTCGAAATATACAGCCCGGTAAGTTTCATCCCAATCCTTGTTGATAATGTCATCACAGATAAAGCCATGTCAGTGGCATTTGAATCTATAAGGCATACCCAAACTGTCTCCATATCTGTAATTTATCTATTTCATTGTTAGTCCCCAAAAACAATCACATTTTAAAATAAATGTTACTTTGAGCATTCAACATCAGACTGTACAGAAGTTAACTCCAGAAGGGAACATAACATAATGATACCTCGTGCAGTGCCTTGATTTAAAGCATTCCCCAACGTAAGAATTGTTTGCATTATCTGCCGTAACTTTTCAGATTCTTTCACCTGAAAAACAATGCGAACATTAAAAAGCCAAACTACTGAATTCTCTCATTTATTCGTATAAGAATTTTATAGTCTACTTTACCTCTCTGGCAGCATCATTCACGGTATTGAGGTTACCTCTCAAATCACTCACCTGGGCCAGAAACAAAGGAGAAAAACAAAAAGAGCACAATGAATAACTAGAAGTAATGCAATGCAGAACCATGATGAATAAACCCACGCCACACCTGACTTGAGAAAGTGATCCTGAAAGCAAATACTCGTAATTTGGCTTCCACTCTTGGAACAGTCATCAACACCATGAAGAACTGAAATCAAGCAGTCAGTTAGCAGGTTATAAATATGTTATATGCAAATAGTCAATAGCACACAATTCAAGCTCACCTGTTCGCATCTTCCAAGTGTTTCCTTATTGCCGGTAAAGTTCTGCAAACGAAACCCAACAATATCACAAGTAATGTAAAGAAATTGACATCTTCCTTTCAAAATAAAGAGATTTTTTTTTGTCAACCCATGGTTCAGCCATTATTAAGATACCTACAAAGTCAAGTTAGAATATTATATTATATTCTATTATATAACCATTGCTCTGAATTTATTAGCAACGTGGTTACCAGAAGGATTCCTTTTTCCCACGAAAAGGCTCCAGTTTTAATGCATAAATATTTAAGAACATATACAAACTAACATTCACTCGTTCACAAAGTTCAATTGAAACTATTTTTTCCCCCAATGTTAACTCTCACACAGAGTACGAAACTGCGTCTCAAAGGTAAGTCATCAAGCAAAGTCACCTAGGGAAAGAACAAGGAACAACCAGCAAGAAACACAGTTCATGTTTAGTTTCCCAAAATCTCTGACTGGTGCAGGAGAATTGTTGTACACTTATTAATTTCACTGGACTGCAAAACCAACTCTGCAAAACTTACGAGACACTGAACAAACGCATAACAGATTGAAGCTGAAGAAACATAGATTTACCTTTAATGTTTCAATTTCCTCCTTAGTTGGACAAAATTTGATCAGATTTTCAACCTGATCAATATCCAACACTGAAGAATCTAAAGCTAGAATTGCATTCTACAAAAGAAAAAATTCGAGAGGTATAGATAAGATTAGTAAATTGTTCAAAGAAAAAACATAAGATTAGTTGTAGAAGTAAGAAAATGATCAAATGGTTTAATTTTGAACCTACAAAAAAGTGCATCTTTATCCACACAGAGAAGCCGTGTGGGGTATTAAATTACGGCAGACCAAATTCAGACTCAAGAGTTTCTTTCAAAAATTATACCGTCTTTATTAGAAGGGCCATAATGGACTTACAATCATTTCAGGCAATGGAATCTTGATTTTTGAAAGCATTATTTCACAATTATATGCTCTACGCAAGTCAACCTGCAAATAAAAGCGAAAGTAAGTGAAGATACGCTGGAACATTAAGCAACTTACTATTGAGAGAACTACAAATAAGTTTACCAATAAATGAACTTGTACAGTACCCTGGTACCAACTACTAGAGAAACAACAAAAACGAACAAAAATTTTCCACAAGCAATATTAATGACAAATAACGAAAGTTGGTGCCAACATCTTACCAACTGTACTTTCTCAGGCTTGTTGATGTTAGAGCCACGTCTAGCACCAATTCTACTAGCAGCACTACCTTCTGACACTGATGCAGCTGAGAACAAACTCTCAAGTTCTGATATATCAATTTCAGGGGCCCTAGCAAAACAAGCCATCAAATGGCATGAAAACTGGGAGACAAGAAAGAAAAACTATAGTTGTTCTCTTAAAGGAAGGACAGCAGAAATGCAGAATGGTAGCCGAAGAAAGACCAAGAGAACCATGTGCCCAGACTACAATTAGATGGAAATATTTTAGGCATTGGATGAGTAAGAAAAATAAACAATCAAACATACTGTTCCTCAAAACCACAGAGATTCAGCAGATATTCTTGGTGGTAAAAAAAAATTGTCGCAGTGAACCCTAAACCTTTATCATGATAAAGTATGCACGGACAAAAGAGTGAAATCTAAGGGTGACAATTGAATATATCACACACCTTGATTGACTCTCCTGCCTTTGTGAATCAGCCCACAGACTTCCTTGCACTGCTCGAGTAACTTTCACCCAATGCAAGGGCTTCAAAGAAGTTCTTTTAGTGGCAACGCCAGTTGGGGCAATTCCTCGACCTCTGCCATGACCACTTGAACCAGAAGAAGCTTTTGCCCTACCAATGGAAGGAGGCGGAGGAGGTGGCACACTGGAGCTCTTTGTTCCTGGCAATGGTGGCGGACCTGGAGGGCCACCACGACCAGGTACTGGAGGTGGAGCGGGAGGCCTTGGTGCTGGTGGTGGAGTGGGGAGGGCAGGTGATGAGATTGCACTAGCGCGTGTAGGACCCAAAGGAGGTGCTGGAGGAGGGGGAGGAGGAGGACGGGAAGGTGGCCCCGAGGCAGCACCAGGGTTGCCACCAGCAGGGAGTGGGGGTGGAGGTGGAGGTGGAGGACCACTTCTAGCAATTGTGATAGATGTTGAAGATGACAAAGTAGAATGTGGAGGTGGTGGAGGGGGAGGGGGAGGGGCTGGTGGTAGCTGCTTGATATTATTGGCTTTTGAGGGAAATGAAGGTGGTGGCGGCGGCGGTGGTGCTGAAGGTGATGAATACAATGGCCTAGAAGTAGAAGAAAGAGGCAGAGGTGGTGGTGGTGGCGGCGGCGGCGGTGCTAAAAATGATGAATGCGAATCAGAAGGAGGAGGAGGAGGAGGTGGTGGTGGTGGTAAAAATGATGAATGCGAGCTGGAAGGAGGAGGAGGTGGAGGTGGTGGAGGTGGAGGTAACAATGATGAATTTAAGCTGGAAGGAGGAGGTGGTGGAGGTGGCGGAGGTGCAGGTGGTGCTTGCTTTTGAAAAGAGTCAAGAGTACTGGGTCCAGAATGCAGCTCCAGACTTGTACTTAAACCTGAACGCATTCTGCCAAACGGAGGAGGTGGAGGAGGCGGTGGCGGAGCTATATGTGATAAGTTAGAAGGGGGTGGTGGTGGAGTGGGAACTTTACTTGTGGCAGGAGAACTAGAGAATGAAGAAACTGTACTAGCAGGAATAGATGACGCCGGCAGAGATGGAGTAGTAGTATTGTTCAGAGACTCTGCAGGAGGAGGTGGAGGCGGTGGTGGAGGAGGTGGTGCAAAAATTGAAACAGGACTTTGGACACTAGTAGTTGTAGGAAGCGGAGGAGGGGGAGGTGGTGGTGGTGGTGGGGAAGCAAGGATTCCGGGTTGTGGTGGTTGTGTTGGTACTTGTCCAACAGAAGGTTTACACTGTAGAGAAGAAGCTTCTGAAGAAGGTTTCATTTCCTCAGTTGAAGCCAGTTGTTGCTTAAGAGAGGATGGAGAAGTTTCAGGGTGAACTGAAATTGCACCTGTGGATTCTGAACCAATGTCTGGATCAACTGGATCATCAAATGGTGGTGGTATGTCTACGGAATTAACAGTACCACGCACAAATGACTCCATAGAATCTACTGAAGACTTTGGAACAAAATCAAAAGCTTCATCTGAACTATCTGCAGTGCTGGAAGCATTATTATCTTCTTCAGAGTCAAAAGGTGAAGCATATGAACTACCTCTAGCTTGAAATCTTGAAAGTTCTCTTGCATCATTGAAGACGGAAAGTTGCTTAAGTAGCCACAAAGCATCACTGTTATCAACCCATTCTGCACCATTGAAGAGTTCTTGAACCTTAGAAAAAGCTTCAATTGGTAATCCGCCCTTCTCTTCCACGTTCAACACTGAAGTTGGACTTGGGCCTTTTGGTGGTGAGGCACTCTCAACTTCACCAAATAGAATCTGAATCCAAGAAGCAGAATTAATCCAGAAACCATGAATGTGTACAGATATAACTATTCCCCCCTCCCCCACCCTACGAAAAAATGTATAAAATGAAATTGATCGTTCATGCTACCCACCTCTGCTCGAAATCCTTTTGGATATCGTTCCTTTGAATCCCAAAGAATGTCAAGGTTGTCAGAGTTCAGCATTAGTATGTTGGATCGAATAAATGCTGTGTTGAACATTACGCGAAACATCATGACTTCCCTTTCAGGATCCAAGTCCAAATGCACACACTCCAAGACAACATCTCCTTGTACCAAACACTGGATATCAATTTTGATCACATCACAGTCTGCCTGCAAAAATAGCAAAGAGATTAAATACAAAATATATGAGGTCGTTAGAACAAATTCCTGCAGAACAACAAACGCAACCTTTACCTGTCGGTAATGTTTAATGGAAGATTTCTTCTTCTTAGACATGGAGAACAGCATCTGGGTCGAAAGTCCACCCCTTGAGTGGAGATTCCTACCAAAAATACGTATGACAGGTCTGCAGCCATTGTCCGAGTCGAAGCTAGGAATGGCACGAAGAATGACACAATCTAATGAAAGGAATCGCTCAGGAGGCGGCCACTCTGGCGCAATGTTTCTTCGTGCAACATATTGAAGGTACCGCAGCTGAGAAGGGAAAGGATTAAGTGGTGACAAGAGCTGCAGGTAGCCCTTTGGAGCCTCTCGATGAACACTTTCAAGGGTTCTTCGCTCACCTCGATGGAGCTTCTTAAAAATCAAGAAACTAGCCAATAGGAAGGCCATGAGGGGCCAGCCCCCTCTCTCACAATGGAAGAGGATAACATTCTGACGGTTCCCAAGTGAAAGCCAACTCTCGCAAGCTTGAAGGAAATGTTGCACCAAGGACAAGGGCAGGAGCGGGCAGCCCTCGTACTGGCGCGGATAATCCATAACAGTAACATCATACTTGCACAAAATCTCAGCGAACTGGCTCCGCTTGTCGCCCTCGCGGAAATTGAAAGCAAGAATGGAAGAGTCGGGAAACTCTTCGTACAGTTCCCCAATTGTTTCGTGTAAATACATGTGGTACAATTCATCGGGCAGAACTTCAGTAGAAAAGCAAGAATCGAACACTGCAAACCAAAAGGAACCGAGACAATCACACAATCGCATAACCTAGCAGACAGGAAGTAGAAATTTTATGCAACCCTAGAAACTGCAATTCATTCATTCGGCAATGGGTGGCAGAAATGGTAAATGGAGTTTACCGTATACTCTCTCGACAAACTCGAGCAACCCATCGGGCGGCCTTCTGTAGAAGAATCTACTGAGGAGCGACATTTCTTCTGGGAACGGGTTTCAGATACACCAGACGAAATGGAAACAGCAGATTTCGGAGAACTCAACTAGGAGGAAGCGGACAAATTTCAATTTTTTCTCTCCCTCTGCCCTGAACCGGAGGCAAAATCAGTGGTGACTGAAATCCGGTTTCTCAGCGGCCAAACAAACAGATGGATTCGAAAGGAATCAGTGGAAAGGGGAAGAAATCAAACGGTGGAATGAAGACTATGAGCAAGCAGGGGAGCGGAGAGCTAACGAACGGGTTAAGGAGGAAGAGAAGAGACGCGGAATTTTGAAATTTTGAAGGAGTTTGAGTTGAGTTGAGAATGAGAAGTCAGAAGAGTATTAAACAGTAAACTCCTAACGATTAGAAATCCTTGATACGGTCCTGGTCTTCTGGAATAAAAAACGAGCCATGAAAATTCAATTATTTGAATTCATTCGGAATCAGCTCCCGATCTTCACAAAATTACACATTTACTTACTGGTGTCCAATTCCATCTTTATTACGGGTTTGAAATAAGAAGAAGATCCAAAACATTTCAGCCGTTTAGTTCACAACAATTTAAAAATGTAGTGAAAAATGTTTTGGTGACACTTTAAGGTATTAGTATTACTATTAGTAATAGAACTTTAAATTCTTAAGAATTCAATTGTCACACATTAATTCAGAAACAAAGTGTTATAAAAAACGATCTACATCAAGACGAGATCGTATGCCGCAACATCATACTATATTTATGTGAGTTGTGAGGCAATACGTGGAAACATAACTCTATCGAGAAGCTCACATCTACATATTTGACCTACCAACTTTATCGATGACGAAGAGACACGCCTTTCTAGCTCAAATATGACCAAATTGCTTTTTCCTGGGATGAGTTTTTGGTGATGATTCTTCTTCTTTCTAGTTGCCGACGTCGAGCTTCCGAACTCGAGGAGAGTGGGGAGTGCTTTTTATTATCACAACAATGCATAAGATCCAGCCGTTGGCAAAATTTTCTCCGCCAGTTTCAAATCCCCCAGTCGCTTCAATCCAACTCCTCAATCACTCCAGTTGGTTAGGCATCAAAGACTTGCTGGGTTTTTGTTTGTGACGATTTGTTGCATGGGACTAAGGGGAGGGGTTGCGAGGATGACAATGGGAGCTAAGCATAGGCGGAGGCAGTCCTCTTGGGCATTGTTCCGAAACAGGGGTAAAGTTTGGTAGGAACAAAAAATACTCCATATATGTTTATACTAAGGATGGAATACAACACCGAGTATAATTTATTTTGTTATTATATCACAACTCATTATTTGATCATAGATTAGCATTAAATTAATTTATTATACCAAAAACGAAATCTCAATTGGAACATATCTATTTTCTTTATATGCATATTCGATTATTTGCACAACAATCTTGAAGCAGTCCGGTGGCAGCGCCAATTCCACTAGTCTTGACGACAAGTGTAGATAGAATATTTTCTTTTTTGAGCTATATAAAAAACGAACTTCGAAGTCGAATACACGACCAGTTTGCTAATGGTTGTTTAGTGAGATCCATTGAAAAGGACTTACTCAAGAGTGTAGACAATGAATGTATTTTGTGATTCTTTCAGAATATGAAAACTCATTGTTGTTGTTTATGAAAATACCGATTGCATTAGTCGCTATTTTTTATATATAAACATAAATTATTTAGATATTATTAATTTAATTATATTTATTATATATTTATAATATGAAAAAGAGGATAGGGGTAATTTCGTCACTGAAGCTAAGGACGATGACCGAAACTTCTTCCTGGATTTCATCGATGATAGAGAGAAGAAAGAAAGAGAAAAAAATAGAAATTTAGCATTTTTCATTAAATCCAATCCAATTTACGGTTATAGTGCACACACAAAAAATCGGTTTAATCCAATCTAGTTAAAACCGAAAAGACTGGATAGTGCAAAAGGAAACCCACTCCAGCCCAAAACCAAGCCCGCTAGCTCCCCACCACAGTCCAAAACTTAGTGGTTGTCGAGGCCCAACCCAGCGGCAACCCAAATTCAAGCGGCCCATCACGATTGACGATCCTAACTCTAATCCCCAATTTCCAGGGACCCCTCTTGGCTCTTGATCTCTCCAAAGTCCAAACCAATGTCGCCTATCGTCACTCTATCTCCTGTGAAACACAAACAAGAACTGCAAAAATATGATATACTCTTCTTTTCCTCTTCATCTTTCTATATATATTCTCTCCCTCCCACCCTTCTCTCTCTCTTTGACCTCAACACATGACCCGAACAATCCTCCATATAATGTACTACCACGGAGCCCGGCCTATTGGCCGGGTTGCTTCTAAAATATTTTATCTTTTTCATTTGTAGTGGTGTATTTCTTTCTGTTGCATATGATAGAAGTAATGAAATAGATGGTAACTCTAATGTATTTTTCATAAGTGAGGAAAAAATAATGATATAGAAAAGAATGGATATATAGAAATCAAATACTTAAATTACTTTATTATACTATTATAATCCCTTTTTGAAATATAATACTAAAGTAAGCATAAAAAAGAAATAAAATAAAGTAATTATTTCACATATTTACTTCAAATTTTGATACATTTATACATAAACATCGAACTCTATGCCCAACGGACATGACCCATATCTAATAACCTGTAATACTAATTTTAGATGAGTTTGGATTTGTGACCATCATAAAAGAAAATACTATTATACACAAAACTCCGGTCATGGATCAAAAGCAAGGTTGTCAACTTGGTTTAAACCATTAGTTCGATCTAGTATGTGGGTTGAGAGTTTATGGGCCGACCGTTTTAACTCAGTTTAGCCTGAATATATGTAAAAACTCATTATATTGTTCATATATTTATAAATTATATCAAATCTCATCTAACATATGAGTAATAACATATAACATTACACCAAAATAACATGTTGTATTTGGATCCAACATCAATATTCAAATGTTCAACCTAGAATTCCTAAAATTGGGTTATGCGAAAAGGAAAACCAAAATATTGGCGCATTTGACAAATCAAAAGAAAAAATAACACCATTTGTCATCCAATCTGGTACCTCACAACGGGTCGACTCGACGGGTGTTTGTGACCCATTTTTCTTACCGGACCAAGATTAAAGTGGATCAATCGACGAATCGACCCGCGGTTGACAAACTTGAATTCAAAAGTAAATGGAAAAAGAGGGACGGACAAAATAAATAGAAATAGATAACTAATTCATTGTCTATATGGCTTTCACCAAAAAGATAGTGTGATTAAACTATGGCGAAAAAAAGACAGTGATCGATTAAAAAGGAAGGTGTGAGGGACGTGGGTGGGGCTGTAAAAGAATGAATTTATAGTGTTATCACCTGTGACCTGTTCAAGAAAAAGAAACCGCCAGCAATTTTATGCGAAACAGGTAAGAACGGAAGTGACAAATTAACCCTTCCGATAAATGTGCTTTGATCAGCAAAGGCTGACGTGGCAAACACTTTTTATTGACATTGGCTTATATGTTTTTGTAGATTAAATTCACGCACATCCAAAAAAAAAAAAGTCAATTCGTCACAGATGCCCCCATCTTTTCTCAAATCATCTCCCTAAATCCCCATAAGGTGACTCTCGTTGACCGACAACGAATCTTGCCAGTCGCCAAAAGCATGCAGAGGTCTCTCTGTCTCTGTTCTGTTCCACCTTCGTACCACCATCTGTTGAGGTCTTCGTCTTCGTTCGTCGCCCACCAGCCATCAGGAATTGTTCATCAAGAGTCGTCGTCGTCGAGTCCTGATGAAGCGAAAGGAGGAGAAGGATATACGAGATTGAGAAGGAATCGGGATTGGGGAAGATATAGATATGATTTGGGATTCGGGAGAGAGATCGGAGGTCGACGACTTTGAATTTTTATTTTCTCTCAAGTTAATTTAAACGTCACCCTTTGTAGTTAATTTGAGTGTATCTGGTTTTTTTAGTTAAAACCCGACCAAACCGTATTGCATCCAATCCGATTTGATCAAAACCGTGTAACAATTCAATTCCGCCTTTGATTGGCAGGTTGTCCAATACGATCTTAAAAACGTGGGCCAATCCAATCCGATTTACACCAAACCGCACTGTTTCCTAGCACTAGTACCAACAAAGCAGCAGTTAACAAGTGGCACTATAGCATTTCAACAGAAAACTGGAAATCGCAACCCATTTCTTTAATCTCTTCCTCTGTCCTCCTAGGATCGTGTCTGTGTCCACTCAGATTCACCTAACTACAAACATCAACACTCCCAGCCACCTAAATTCCCTCTTTAATCCCAAGAACCCCATTGTTCTCCTCTTGTTTCGATGGGCACAGTTGCAAAATTTCAAAGGATCAGAAGAAGCCATATATATATCATAGCTGAACTTTCCTGAACTCGGCAAGCACAGGGTATATGTTCTCAAACGCCGCGTAAGTCTCCTTCCTCTCCTTAGCTCCCGTGATCACAATCTTCCCCGACACAAAAATGAGTAACACAACTTTGGGCTTTTTCATTCTGTAAACCAGCCCCGGGAACAGCTCGGGCTCGTATTTGGAATAAGGCCCATGGGCCGAATCCAGGCTCTCGAGCCTGATCGGGAACTTCACATCGCACGAGCCCACTATGTTCTGGATCTTGAAGTCCTTGAACTGGGCTGAAAAGCCCAGCTTCTGAATTATACGAGCGTACTTTCTGGCGGCCATCTTCGACTGCGCTTCGCTTTTGGCACCCGTGCACACCATCTTGCCGGAGGCGAAGATGAGCGCCGTCGTTTTGGGTTCCCTGATCCTCATGATGACGGCGGCGAAACGCTTAGGGTTGTATTCTGCGTTGCGGGCTCGTAAAGCGATTTGCTTTAGGCTTAACTCGCAGCCCAAGTTTACTGTGGCGACGATGTTCTGTAGGGTGGGAACGAGGCCGGAAGGGTGCTTGGAGAGATCCACCGCTTGTTGGCTTCCTTCCATGCTAAAGAGACACAGAGGGGAAATCGAAGTTGCTAGCTAGTAAAATGGCGACGATTTTCTTCACGGCGGTGAGGAGAGAGCGGCTTCTATGTACAGTTTGTTTACTTTCGATCGAACACGCCGTGACAGGAACTAACCTATATATTATAGGGCGGTGAAAATAACTCCTCCACGTCATCGGATTCGGAATCAATATAGCAAAAGGAATCGTCCCAACTCCCAAAAAAGAAAAGAAAAAATATTTGTATCTGCATATAATTTTGGAGACTAATATTTATGTCTTTGAAAGAGACAAAATAATACGGAGACAGAATAATAGTGTCCTCAAAAAGATATATTAGTGGCCTGGAAGTTATAATGAAAAAGCAAGTGACATAGTATTTTGTATTAAAATTGTGTGTTTTAATTGTGGTTCAACTGTTTCGTACCTTTAAAATTGTCTATCGGTTTAAAGTTCAATACCCAATATTTTTTATCCAACCACTAGTACTGTTTCTAAAACTTATGGTTATATCACTATATGAATAGCACCGTATCCGATATGGGTGTTCAAGCGATGTGGTTACCATGGTAACTGTTTTAACCGGTAGTATTTGGCTAATTAGGTTTGGTTAATTTGGATAATGGTTTGGTTTGGTTAAACATTTTAGCTTGTTTGGTTTAGGTGGTTTGGTTTCAGACACTCTTTACCAATCAATTCAAATTAACCAGTTAAGTATTAGCCATATATCTAATATTTATTATATATTCATATTAATACTTTGCATAACTATTAACCACTCAACAATCAAACGTTCATCTCTTTTAGACTCATAAAAATAAAGCTCAATATTGTTACTATACTGTATATTTGTAGAGTGTAGACAAAAAAAAAAAAAAAATAATATGAAAGTCTAATTTATATAAAACTCACACATTGTGTTGGATGAAAACTATAAAGGAATGTCTTTTTCGGACTATGATAATTGCTAAGAGACTAAGTCAACTAAATAAAACAATAATTCATTAACCTCATACCACTCTATATATTTTTGTTAGGTGAATACTTCTATCGATTACAAGATAATTGTATTAGTTGTGTATATTTATGTTAAGGGTTAACTATGAGTATAACTATGTGTTACTTCGGATTTTGTATCACTTATAATTATGTGATGTTATATTGGTTAATTTGGTCAACCAATTAACCAAATCGATTAAACTTTAGTAAGGTTAATTTGGTTGTTGTATTAGTTTGGACGATTTGGTTATTATATTGTATTCAATGGTTAATAAAATTTAGCCTTTTTTATTTTGTAATTACCATAGTAATCATTTGAACACCCCTATCCGATTCCCAAATGACAAGAACCGAAACAGAACGCAAAGAAGGGAAAGGAGAAAACAAGATTGAGATAGGTTTTTTTTTTATGACAGATTTTCATTAAAATGTGTGTATGCTGCCGGTTAAAAGTTAAAACCATAATTGCATCAGGCATTCTACCAACTTGTTTGATACAATATTCAGCATGGTTCCACAAACTATAAGATCAAGAAATCAAGATCGAACTAGCTAGGGTTTTCTGGCAGGTTTCTTGCTCAGTACTCTTCGTTGATATCCCGGCTGCGGCAGCAATTAGCTAGCTTGCTTTATCGAACAGTCTAGGTCTCTAGCTAGGACGATGGATGCACTTCAAGAAACCAGCGAATTTCAGAATCCAATATTATCAACTCCCGCCGTCATTGCTGGACTTTCCTAAACTCCTTAACCACAGGGTATATCTTCTCAAACGCTGCGTACGTCTCCTCCCTCACCTTAGCTCCCGTGATCACGATCTTCCCGGAGGCAAAAATGTTGAGCCCAACCTTCGGCTGCTTCATTCTGTACTTCACCGCCGGGAACAGCTCGGGCTCGTAATTCGAGCAAGCGCCGTGCGACGATGCAATGCCCTCGAGCCAGATCGGGAACCTCACGTCGCACGAGGCCACTATGTTCTGGATCTTGAAGCCCTTGAACTTGGCCGGAAACCCAAGCTTCTGAACTGCTCTCGCATACCTTCTGGCGGCCAGCTTCGACTGCAGTTCACTTGTGGCACCCGCGCACACCATCTTGCCGGAGGCGAAGACGAGCGCCGTGGTTTTGGGGTCCCGCATCCTCATGATGACAGCGGCGAAGCGCTTGGGGTTGTATTCCGCGTTGCGTGCTTGCTGGGCGATTTGCTTGAGGTCTAACTTGCAGCCCAAGTTTACTGTGGAGACGACGTTCTGCAGTGTGGGAACGAGGCCGGAAGGGTGCTTGGAGAGATCGACGGCTTGGTTCGCTTTCATGTTGTAGAGAGGGAGAGTGGATCGGAAGTGGGAGGTGGTAAAGTCGAACGCCGAGGAGTGTCTTTGACGGCGATGAGGAGAGGGAGGTTTCTATTTTATTTTCTATGTAATGTTTGTTTCCTGAGAGTTCCGAACGCGTGACCTGAACTATGCAGTAGTGGCTTCAGTTCCGTTAGACTACAACAGGCCTCGTGTGTATTAGAAGTGTGGCTATTTATAGGCCGGGGGACATATTATATAAGTCGAGACCTCCGTTTCAGTATAGGAAAAGGATAAGGAATCATATAAAAAAGAAAATAGGAATTTTTTTTTATGAAAATGCTGAAAAGGGAAACGGCGAGGAATAGAAACGAAGCGCAAAATAATTTTTTCTTTTCTTTTCTTTTTCTTTGTAAGGAAAAATAAAAAAGAAGGTCGGTGGTTAGCTTTTAGTTTTCTCCGTTATAAGTTATAACCCAAACTGAGCTGATTTTAGCACCCAATCGATTTCTCTTAATGGATAAAAATAGACAAGTGATTAACGATTTTCATTAAAATTGAATCAAATTTTCAGTAAACTCTTTTGGCAATTAGCTAATTCATGTTTTGATTTCTAATGATATTCAATTCGATCAACCGAACCGTGTCACTTCTATATGTGATTTCGCATCATTAGTTGCATCAAATTGGTTATCGGCCTTATATCAACCGGTATTTTGGATTACTACAATCAGATTATTTTTAAGGCAAAATTCACTTCCATAGCCATAACTTTGCAAATTGTGACAAATATAGCCAGATTCTGAGAAAATACACAAATATAGCCACATTTTATAAACTTGCTTGACAAATATAGCCATTTCGGTTAAATAATTTGACGACGTTAATAATTCCGTCAGTTAAATGGATGTCATTCTGATGAGGCTGCCACGTCATGGCCACATATACCCCCACTGCCACATAATCGCCACATCACATTTTCAAATAAAAAAACATAAATACACTTTTGTGGATCGTATTTTTCTTCCTCTTTACAAATTTTTAATTAAAAATTTCCTTTGTTCTTCGCCGGTTCCATGGTTGGGTATTGGCAGGAGAACAACCACCGGCACCTACTGGTTGTTGATGGGTTCATCTTCAATCGCCGTCATCTTTGATTCATTACCGCTCTCAATCCCACGATTCATCATCACCAAATGAGAAGAAAGTGTTGCAATTGCATATGGTGCTGGTGGTGAATGTTTCTCAAATCGAGGAGATGGAAACAACAATTTCGCCGCCGCATCGCCTGCGTTACTCCACCAACCAACGTTCATCCTTTCTTGCAGATCTGACATCACCGGCGTTGCCGACTCATCCCTCTTGCCGATGGTGTTGTTGCAAGATTTGTCTCGGCGTCGGGAGGGAGTTTCAGTTCCGCCGCCGCTACCGCCGATGTGGAATCTTCTCAAACCGACAACACCCAGCCACTACCTCGTCACCGTACCCACAAGTACAGCTGACACCGACGACGTTTTGTCTCCTCCGGCTGCTTCAACTTTCCAGATCTCGCGAATTCAGAGCTCGAAGCTCTGTCCCTTCAATGGCGATTCCCAGAAATCAGAGGACCAATCCGCTCGTTCTCTCCCTCATCAGATCCCAGTTGATAAATTAGGTCAGCAAAGATGAGGGTCGTTCTCCCCCTTGCTCGATTTCGCCTTCTTCCTCTACTTCTCTGCTTCAACGACGACGGCGGTGAATTTGGTGATTGGGAATCATCTAGATCTGAAGGTTAGTTTCTGTGGTGGGGCTTGAGGGAGGAGTGTGAGGAGGCGGAGGGCGGCTTTGGCGGCGGCGACAAATACGGCGGAGGAGGAGAGGAAGCTTTTGGAGATCGAGATTTTTGGCAGATTGAAGTTTTGTGCGGTGGTAGATGAAAGGGGTTTGGGGGAGTTGGAGGAAAGATGAAAAAGGGGCGGAGAGATGAAAAAAAAATTCTTTTTCTTTTTCATCTTTTTATTTAGCATAATAAATATAAATAATTTTATTTTCCACTATGGCATGCCACATAGTCCAAATTAAACGCAGTTAAATACGACGGTTTGTCCAGTCAGCAATCGTTATATTTCCGTTACATTAATGGACGGAATGGCTATTTCTGTGTATTTCTCAGAATCTGGCTATATTTGTCACAAAGTGCAAAGTTATGGCTATGGAAGTGAATTTTGCCTATTTTTAACAATAAATGAATCGCTATCACTGAATACTTTTCTGTTAACTTGTCTTGTACAATGCTATATTGTCAATTAGATATCTTATGTTTTTCAAATTATTTTAATTATATTTAACAATAATATTATATAGGTACACTACCAGTTAAACCACAATTATATTGCTAAATATCATTACACTTGATATGTACAACGCTAACTTGATATGTACAACGCCAGATATGGTTTCGCGTATCAGGAGAAAAAGATCAATCAAGATCGAGCTAAGATTTTTGACAGTTTGCTTTCACAGTCCACGTTGATACCCAGTAGCTTGCTTGAGAAGTCTAGGACTATGGGTGTACTTTGAGAACCAGCTCATTCTACATTCTAATAAGATGCCAAAGGGGAATTGGGACGACATTTTGATCTGGACAAAAGGAGGCAAAGAAAGAAGGCGAATGACATTGTTTTCATTTGTACACGACGGGGCCGATCATATTCGACAAGCATCGAGGGTGTATCAGAGAGCATCTCACCCTTGTCTTCTCTCTTCTGCTGATTAGCAACCTCCAGGCTTCTTAGCAAAACCGTCTGATGGACGAATGACAAACAGCTGAACAAACTGACTTTCTTCATCAGCATCTTTCGAAAACCTTGTAGAGCTTCTCCAGGGAAGCAACCTGTTTGAAAGAGCAACTTGCAAGCATCAGAGTATGAAACAAACAGGCAAAACACATTTAAACCAAAACAATAGGAAAAGTAAATTACATTTGGAAATGGACGAACTGAAGAATAGAAACCGAGAAGGCTGATGTTTCGAAATATGGAGTTTTGATGCAGGTTCAAGGGGAAGCACACAGAAATCCAGGGAGGACATCGGCATATAAGAGACAAGCAGTAGTTGAATAGAAGGTCCGGCGCTTTTTACCTTTACAAACGTTCCATTGGTGGCCATGGAAGCTGGCGGCTTCAGAAACAATCTCATTGATGGAAACAAGACGTGCTGGATCGACCATTCACGCTGTGCCCATGCAGTCTCTGCCTCTGAGAGGAGGTCATTGTCGATTTCGTCCTTCTCCTCCACTTGTATATCCGCTGCAAAATGTCAAAAGGGGCATGCCTGTCTTATTTCATTCACAATGCTTGGTATTTGTACAGGAGCTTGTAAGGAATAGGACGATGTATAGGAGAAAGTCATGAAAGGCCAATCACTTATCAGCAAGATCAGGTGATTACTGATAGTGTTACTTGCATATACAATAAGGCCCTTTTCACTTCCATTTTCGTTTTCTGTTTTCATGTCATAGATTTGGCAACCGAAACGAAAAAAACTTGTTTACTTTTCATTCTGTTTTCTATTCGTTTCCAACTATGAAAACAGAAAGTGGCAACTTCCTGCTGTTTTCGGAAACGACAAAATGTTGTTTTCGCCTGTTTTCAACATATGTTTTATCAAAAACAGGAAACATAAATGAAAGTAAACAGGCCCTAAGCTTGCCATCCTAAGAACTCACGTCCTGGATATACGTTAAATATTAGGGCTATTTGTCGGCACTGGTAAACAATTTGATTTCAGGCCCCCTCCCCACGAAAATCAAATCTATATGAATTTGAAATGACGGTTTAGTAATACTACCCCCGATAGCCTGTTTTCTAGGAATTTCACATAATTAAGGATGCAAGCATGTTTGCTCATGAAAGCTAATATCTTTTGTTTCATCCTAGATCTTACATTACTATTCTTGTCGCAATACAGTCTCCTACACTGTCACCGTTCAGACAAGCATCCTTGTTCTTTCTTTGATTCACCAATCTCCCAGTTTCCTACGATATTTGCTTAACGTGGCAAGTAACTTGCATGCTCTAAACCTAACAAATAGCTCCGGCTGGAAGTCTGGAACTAAGAAATCATGCAGAATCCAAAAATTGACTTGTAGAACATGATAGTAGTCATACCAGTTGCTCCAACTCCAAAACTGGTAAACCATTATATAAGGCGTACCTTTCTCAATGGTATTTCCTTCATCATCACGATTGTCTGTGGCTTTTCTCTTGTAGAAGTGCATACCATCACCCGATGGGTTCGGCAGCAGAGGGGGATGCATGGCATAAAAGTTTGCAATGGCAGCAGCAATTCCTTGAAAGCAGTTCTTTTCATCCAGCCATTCAATCTGTGGATTAAGGATCAAACAACAACCATAAGCAACGAATTAGTTACTTCAACATTTTCATTCTGAATTCAAAAAGAGCGCTGCTAAAATGACTATCCCAGTTGCCGCCACAAAGCAAGGACTCCTAGATAGAGAAAATCATAAGATCACTTTAAAATTGCATAGGTATCTAACTGCCCTGAACTTTATAGACTTTTATAACCCAGAATATTATTGATGACCTTACTTATTGACTAATTTCTTCTGTGTGCAAGCAAGTTCTAGAAAAATAATTGACCTTTGCCAAACAAATAGCACTATGCATTATTGTGAGAACAAGTCACTACATTTAAATAGACAGGATATACAAGAAAAGAACCAATAACATTTCGTGCCTTCTGGAAAACATTGAACAAACTACAGCTTCCAGTATCTAATACCACTGGAAAGTCGTATTCAGGAGGCAGAACTTACATCATTCCCCAAGGTAAGCAAGAAATCAGGAATTCGATCCATATCAGGAGTATGTTGGTCAAGGATGACAGGAAGCATGGACAAATAACCCTCTGAGTTTATGGAAATGCCAAAGTACTCCTCGAGCATCTCCATTTTTTCCTTGAGCAATTCCGAATTCAGCTGAAAAAGATCAAACACTGAGATAAGCTGACAATTAGCGGTTAGATTACAGTTCTGGAAATTTCACGTATGCTGGGGAAAACTTCATGAGACTAGATCATGAATGGAAGGGGCTGAGAAAATCAGGAAAGAATAGTAGACATCACAAACACCCAATAAGATGGACCCACACACTTGAACTCCAATATTATCCTCCGGACATGCAATTTAAGTGTCAACAATAATATCAAAATGAATTGGTTTTGTTAATGAAACAATAGATGTCCGTACAGAAACATACTGGATAAAATTACTACTGAGCTATCGGTTCCGAAATTTGTAACTTGTCTGACATCTCATAGTGCATTGCAGTGAAACTTAGTGACCGGAACCATAAAGTCAGCCTCACCGGTCCAACTGAAAACAGAGAAACGCTGGCATCTTGTACCCGAAGTATCATATACAAGGGAATATGTTCATCCCACGTGTGTATAAAATGCAAGCTGGTGGCAATAGCCAATATCAATAGGTCCATGGCAGGAAGAATTAGGCCAAGCCCAACAACCATCTGAATTCAAACAACTGAATTGAACCACTCAGCATCGCCACATAGTGGACCCCAAGATGGAGCAGCCAACTCATGACAGTGGAGACATTTTCAAGCAGATAAAAATGCTGATACAATATTAAAGCAAGAAGTCAAGAAGCTACTTTTGCAATATTCTGTTTCAGCTCGTCGCCATCAGTGGATTCTGAGTTAAGATCTTCTTCTTGCAGCGCCAACATGATTAGATCTGATACTGGGGCTGGTTCACTTAGCTGTATCGCATTAAAATGCGCAAACCGCCTGAGAACTTGCTGATACATTATCTCTTTGCTGAACAGACAAGTTAGCAGCTTGTTAAGAGGTGCTGCTGACATTTTAAAGTGAACACATGGGTATCATTATCTTCTCAAATATGTTGTTGGTGAGGAACAAAAGAAGTTTTTGAACTATTCCCAACAGATTGGTCTAGCTGTTACACCGTTGGTCTCCGACCTGTAGGTCCAAAGTTCGAATCCCTTCAGTAGAACCTAACATTAAAACTAAACCTATTTAACCCTTACAAAAAAACTATTCCCAAGAGATTCAGTGGCCATTTATCAACAGTTTACATAAAGTGCAAAATAAACAAAATTGACAAAGGTGTTGTGAATTTGAACAAGAATACATAAACAAACGAATGTTAATATTATATAACCAACCAAAACATTCCCAGGATCCAATCTTCCAAGCATGCTACAAACAAACTTTTTTGCTTAGGGAAATCAGACTATCTTGCTTAGCCCTGTAGTTTGATCCATGGTAAGAAAGTATATGTTGTGTCATCTTGAAAACTGGAGGTGAACAGTTGTTACCTTAAGTTCACCACATTTGCAAGATACAGGTGAGTACCATGCTGAAGCAATGCCAGAATTTCATCAGCCATTCCAATAAAGGTGCAATGTCTAACAACATCCAGCAAATCTAAATAAAATCAAAAGGTTCTCAGCAGGGTTGACACATAAAATTCAGACCAAAGAAGTTTATTTGTCAATAGTTGTGATGTCATTTACAATGGGATTACCAGAATGACAGTTGCGTTCCACGTCATCAATGAGTTCCTGTAAGCTAGTAAGATCTGCAGTTTCCTTTGGATTTCTTCTTAGTCTAACAGCAGACCTGCAATAGTAGAATTTAAAAAAGTTAGAAATTAAAATATAAATATAAATATACATGTGAGAATAATATAGTAATTATTCTTCAATACTGTTTTGAAACACTGATGATGAGTGCTGGAAAAACTATTGAACTTTGAATACCGAGGAACTACTAATGGATTGTTACCAGGCAGAGTTTAAATACCAAATAACCAGGATTGTTTCAATGTATTGCTACTTTCTATAAGAATTAATCCACGAGATTTGTTAAGCCAAAATATACTAACAAATTATCTGAAGTCAAGCCAAAGTCACCAAGTCATCCCAAAGTCACCAATTATGTCGTGCCAAGAAGCCAGGGAATGAGCACTTCATTGTATGATAAATAGGCGCTCATTAAAAGAACAGAGAGACGAGCATGACTTAAAACGAACAATATGCTAAGAAGGATGTAAGAGGGATAATGTCCCCAATGCTTCAGACCACTTGCGTAATGACTCCAAGATAGTAGAAGCTACTTCAAACATAACAAACAGACTACAAATAGGAGTAACCAGAGATCTTTAGCGCTTAGGAGGCCAGTTAAACTTGATCAGGAATCAGGATCAATGTGTAAGAGTTTCAGGTAGGAGTAATGTGAAGGCAAGGATGACATGAAAAGTTAGACACTGGTTTCAGATATCCAACGTCTTCTAGATATGATCTGAACAATGTTACTCTTCCAATACTTTCTCACCACATCCACATATGTTTCCACTTCGAGATCCTACCTTACTGCTGTCAAACTAGGATTCCTTTCAAGGCCCTCAAGAGGCTTAGCTTTTAAGTAGGCATCCAACCTCCCTGCTGGATCCATTGCATCAGTCCTCACTATTTTATTAACGGGAGTCTTCTGTGATTTTGATGCTAGCAAAAGAAAGGAACATAAGATGATTTCACAGGACCTCTTAAAACTGAATGGAAGAATAGTGAAAAAGATAACCAAATAGCAAAGTGTAAGTTTCGAACCAGTGGGTGGGGAATCTGTTTGTGAGTCTTTACTTGAGCTAAATGGACTGAGTTGGGAGGGATCAAGTGTCTGTTAGATGGACAAGTGAAAGATGCCAAGAAAGTGCTCAGTAGTATCATAGAGGAACAGCAGAAGCAGCAAGACTATCTACAGATAGCCAGTGAGTCACTTCAAGTTCTTTAAAATGCCATCTAGAGTTTTATTTAAATTGCCAAAGTTCATGAAATCAGTTGCAATCTTACATTAGAATGGATCTTGACAATCCTAACCCTTTTCATATAAAATTCAGTTTTCTCCACATCATGAAGAATATTCGGCCTACTCAACCCTGGGAGATGCAAATACTTTTCACATGAGTGAATTGTGAGAGAGAGAGAGCGAAAAAGAAGCAAAACAATAGAGTGTGCTAATGAATCTAGTCGGTAAAAGTAAGCAGATCTATGATTACATAAATTAAAATACAGAATACGAATGAGGCTACTAAATTCATCAAATCACTATATATAGCTTAGGGTATGACGCAGTTGAAGAAACCATTAAATGCAAAAAAAAAATAGTGCTAGGATAAGTGGATAAGAACACTGAAACATTTTTTTTTTTCAAGAAACAAGACTGGCCTCAAACATCTACTATATCACACATAACGGAAAACGGGAATAGGTGTCAGAAGCTGCAGCTGCAGCTTATACCTGTTCTGCAAACACCCTCGACGTGTTTGAACTCCGCAATTTTGATTCAGCAACAGACTGTATCTTCTCAATGATCCTTTCTTGATTTAGGAGGCTGACCTGCATAGTAGAACAACATTGTAACTGTATTAGAACAAACTGATGGAAACTTTCTAAAATAAGAAGAAAAGATACAGGTAATCTGTCACATCAGAAAAAGAAGAAGAGGAACACAACCGTAGAAAAGAGCCCAAACCAGATTTCATATACATAATTGACAAGTTAGCACCCGCAGTCAAGTGCTCCTTCAATCAGAACCATAGACCAAATAAATAGATTGGAATATATAAAAATGTTTAGTGTCCTTTATCATCAACTAAGTATCACACATTCTATTGAATGCATACAATTCTAGCCTGAACAGAGAATCTATATACTAAATATTCTCATGGACTCTTAAAGCATACCTTTATTCTTTCGCGATCAAGAAAACAATTCTCTTTGAAGTGGTGAACAGACAAAAATAAGCAGGAAACCAGGAAAAAAAGCATAACAGAACATGTTAGGAGTTTTGCTACTTCGTTTCATTTAGGAGAGCCAAGCATAACAATATCTTCAACTCTTACTATCCTCAAGATGGCTGTCTATGGGGCTTAGTTGAATCGAAAGAAATCAGAGATTTCTAAGGCTTCTAGTACTGCCCTTTAGTAACCATGTACATAGTAATCTTCAAGACAAAACACCCATAAATGTATCCTTATACTGGTCATTAAATTAATTTCTGAAGTTGTACCGAACAAGTTTTAGAACTTACTAAAATGACTTTCCCGTAAGTTCCACGTTTCTTAAACCTACCTACTTTCTTTTATGTTAGGAACTATTTTTTATGCAGTTCAAATTGGCAACAGAGTATGTCAGCAACAGAGAAAGTGCGGAAGTAAACTGAACAGAGAAAGTAGTAACCATGTATTAGATCATTTTCCAAGCCTTGAGGCAAATTATATGGAGATATTGTAGTCTTAAATTATATGGTCAAAGGTAAACTTTTTAAGCAGGTAAGAATTACAAATTATAATATTATCAAGTACATTTTTTAACTGGTCAATAACTACAGAGTCAGTCCTCGCTCCTAAGCAGCCACAAAAATTACCTCTCTTTTTGTTGGATGGACATTCACATCGACATGCTCAGGTGGAAGTTGTATAGACATGTAAATAAAAGGCTTTGATGCTTTGGGTAAGGTGGCAGCATAAACAATTTCAAGAGCTCTCTTCAAAGCAGTACATTCCACCAATCTATCTGGAGCAAATGGAAGATGCATCAGAAGATTCAGGGATACAGTCCATATTATAAGTACCAAACAATCAATAGTAATAATGAACAGAACAGGATATATCCAGGTTAAACCAGAATCAGAAGTCCGACGAGGGTGTTATTCCTTTAATCCTTGTTTCATTTATGCAGTTCTAGTTCGAACGGAATAGAATTATCACTTAAACCTAACCCTTAAAGAAGAGTTAGGTATAAGACATTTTCACATCGAGTGTAAGCTAAAAGCATCATGACCACGTACCACATCATATGAAATGAATAGTGTTGAAGAAGATTAGAGATGCCTACTGATGGATATATCAGAAACAGCAGAAAGGCCTGCATGTATCTACCTCATTCTAAACATGAAACTTTGAGTAAATAAAGATGGGAGGAATAAAAGATCGAGGAAGATCTCAGAGAGTTCACAAGCTCTTGACAAACAGAAAGATAAGCACAAACAAAAGACACTCAACTATTCATCTGAAGACATCTCATTTCCCCATTAACAAGCTGAGATCATTGCAAAATATGGTAACATCAACCACTACACCACCAGGATTTGTATCTTCTAAGGATGTACAAAGCAAAATTCACACCAGCACACAGTCCGGAAGAGAAGAAAAGTAGCCACCAAGAGAAACAAAATGTGTCATTATAACTGCCGAACTATACTCCAGAGCGCTGACCCTTAGCAGTTAGCACTTTTAGGTTTCAGCCAAAGTACAAAACTACAAACCATTGATAAAAAGCACCATTGTTGTTTTCTTTGCCATGTAATTTGAAGATGAGATAAATCCATCCATGGAAAAGATAGATCCAACAGGGTCACTGTCAGAGGTTTCTAGTTTTATCAGATTGCAGGATACTGATGGCCCATAAACCGATCTGATCGCATCAAGTCTTGATGAGGTTGCTACGGAGTGGACATCTGCTCTAACAGCTCCATGCTGACCATAACAAAAGAATCTTTTTAATTCCCACCGAAAATGCAACATCCCTTACCTCATCCAGGAAAACCACTTCCAGAATATTATTAGCTAACCTTTCTGCAAGAAAAGCTCACAGTTGTGTGATGAATGGCAAATCGACTTATCACGTCGACAATTTTTGAGTAATCATCAACAGTACTCTGGAGCGTCTTCTTCCTGGCAACCATGTTGTAGAACAAATTCTCTACCTGACAGGAGAAACATTCACTAAAAAACTTAAAGAGCATGTGCAAGGAATTGCTATGAAGGAGGTAAAAAGTGAGTTACATCTATCTGTAGAAAAACTGATCTTAGAAGTCAGAATCCCAAACGCTAGTGCAGTCTATATAAATAGTTGCTACATCCTACGCATGCTTACATAATGTATCACGGCGATGTCACCGTACTGTAAAACCAGCACACTAACAGGCATTTCTCTAACAGTCAGATCCTTTCCTAAAGTTTGTATATTTGCTTAACAGGTACAGAGAAGCAGCGGGATGAGAGAGGGCAGCTGCTATATGCCAACATCAGCCATTCATGTAGGTGCCGTTATAAACATAAATTAGAGAATAAATAGGAAACAATAAATGTTGATTTATTGTTTATCCAGTTACAACATCATTTGTGGACATCTCTACATCTTCCGATTTCTAGCCCTTGCTTTCACACATGTCCGAATTCCTTTAACAAAGGTTCTAGAAACCCTTTGTTCAGCCTCTCTTCTGGTACTAGATCTTTGGTTAGCAATAGTACTGTTAAAACTCAAGTTTGTACATGACCTAGCCAAAGTCATAATTTGTACCATTATCTGAGTTCCTTTGACAGCGGCACAAGCCTTTGGTTGGTGCTCCATGACACCGTCTTTATAGGATACCCTGAACAATAGATACAATGAACATAGTCTGGTCAGGAATGTACCGGGAAACCATTTGCAAAACAGGCAAACATATTGAGTCTCATTCTCGTTAAACTAATGAAAATGGTTACAAAGCGAGTCATGAATTGGCATTGGATTCATTCTAGAGTCTATTTCCAGACATCATATCAGCCGATTTTTTGCACTTCACCTACTCATGACTGACCAAATATCTTAGAAACTAACGGTCAAAGCACATTTGAAAAAGTAGTCATGAAGCAAAGACCAGTCGCTAATCAACATCGTAAGCAAAATTACAGCATCGTCTTAACAGACACATTTTATCAAACAAGTGGAATGCACCAACCTGTAGCCATGCAGCTGGCCTTTTGTGATGGTTGTAACCGTAACATGGGCCACATGAGTCATGCTAGCCAGCGCCTCTCCTCTAAAACCCATCGATTTTATCGTTTGCAAGTCCTCGTAAGTAGAAAGCTTCGACGTAGTGTGCCGCTCGCAGAGTATCGGCAAATCTTCGAACTACAAGAATGGGGGAAAATAATTATAATACGGAAAAGCTACAGCTACAAAGAACAAAGCCGACACGGGATTCCATTTTAGTAGTTGAGAATCTTCTGGACTTACTCGAATCCCGTGGCCATCATCGGAGACTTGAATGAGCTTGAGGCCGCCGTCCTTGACGACCACGTTGATGGAGGTGGAGTGAGCGTCTAAACTGTTCTCCACTAGCTCTTTGACAGCGGAGACTGGCCGCTGAATCACCTCGCCAGCCGCAATTCGGTTTACGACACACTCCTCCAGACGGCGGATCTGCGGAGGTTCTTGTGGAGCTGCAAGTGGCGATGACGGTGAATCCAGTTCGAATTCCATGTCTGCAGTGAACTGCGCACGGGTTACCTCCCGACTTTTGCTTTGACTGCTCGCTCCTTTTTAATTTTTTGGTTGTAGTTTGTACTAAATGCCTTGGACGATTCGGTTTCACTTTCACTCTTCTTTTAGCACTTTGCACCTTATTATGCAAACATTACAATTACATGGTTAAACTAAAATCAATTAACTTTTAAGTCCTTCCAGCATTTATTCGTTTGAAAATTTTCATCCGCATTTCCGTTAGCTAGATAGATATAGAATGCCAGCTAACACAATTGGAGATGCTAACACAATTAGAGATGACAATAAGTTAGGTTGGTCGGTTTTTTTGAAATTCAAATTATCACAGTGGGTGTACTTATTAAAATTTTTGGTAAAATACTTATGAGTTTTAGAAGTAAAAATTCAATCCAATACAATGAATATTCACGGAAGTAACTGTATATATGAGTTCACATATATAACTTTATATTATTTCTTTAAGCACCCACATCAGAATGTTAGTAAATTTTTCCTACAAATATATCTATATAGAGACTACTAACAATCATAAAGTATTCATAGTATTAGGTTTATATTGTCATAGAGACTAATAAGATTAATACATTATTAATATTGTTCTGGTTAAAGAAAAAATTACATCGATCTACTTTATGAGTGCGGGTCGGGTAGAAACTAGAAAGCGAATTGGATTTTGACAAAAGTCAAACCCAACCCACAAATTTAAAAAATGGATAAACCAATCACCTGACCTAAAACTCGCCAGCACTTCATTTTATGATTTTCGATCGAATTAGATCGTATTAGATATACGTGGGTTCGGATTCAATTATCATCCCTATAACACATTTTTTTTAGGAAACTAAACACACAATCTAAGAATCTATCATGTTGGTTACAATTAATCTGTAAAACTCGCTAATCGCTAGGTTAGACCATTCAAGATCACGTAGTAATTATTTGAAATTTGGAGAGGGCACACCATTAAGGCGTGGTGGCCGTGGGGCCTCCATTGCCGAGACTGGTAGTAGTCGGAAATCTGTCGTCTTCGCAGCGATCTCCAAATCTCCCATAAACTCTCAACACAGATAAGCCAAACTTCCCCCTTGCGTTCCCCAGTCGAGAAATGGCAGCTGAGGAAGAAGCAGCAGAGTACGCAGCGGCAGAAGGAGGCAAGCTCCGACAGCAACCTCCACCACTGGGCGCCAGTACGGAAGAGCTTCAGCAGCAAACTCCTAGCAGTGACAAGCTTCTCTCTTCCTACTTAGGCCTCAGCTTTTCCGTTTTCCTGGCGCTACTCCCAGCCAACTCCCTCACTTTGCTTCCGGCTCTCCAATCCCGCATCCGCGACCTCTCCCTGCGGCTTTTCCAAGCCGAAGAGCAGCTCAAGCAGATGAAATCCAGGCGGCAAGAGGACTCCAAGGCCAACGCCAGGGTTGTTGAGATCTTCGCCGGGAACCGGAACGCCTGGCAAGCGGAGGAGAAGCGCCTCCTGCAGCAGATCGACGCCGCCAGTGAGGAAATGGCGATGCTGAGGTCTAGAATTCAAGATTTGGAGAAGGAGAAGCAAGAGTGGGGTGCCAGGGTTCACGATTTGGAAAGGGAGGTCGACGAGAGGGAAGAGATGCTCGGATTCATGTCCAGAAGCGCCGTTGCGTCGAACGGTTTTCCCGTGGAAGAAGAGGAGAATGGGGCGGAAGAAGAAGCTGGTATGTTCAGGAATAGGGAGTGTTGTGGTGGGGATGACGAGTATTTGAATCTGAATGGGAATGGTAATTTCGTGTACGGTGGCTCTCTCCATCATCAACAGCCGCAGCAGCAGCGCCATCAGTCACTGGGGGGCTATGGAGGTTTGGGTCCTGAATTCGCTGCTTCAGCTTCCAAGTTTTGGCCTGATGGACCTCATCACTGGCAGGTTTGCTTTAATTCCATTATTATTGACTCTGCATTTCTTGTTGAGATTCCAGGTTTTTTCTCTACGTTATGAGTTAAGATTACTTTGGATTGGCTTAGACTTCGACTTTTGTTTGTGAACACTTGCTGTTGCGTCTTGAAATTCACTCATGCTATCTGTGAAGTTTTAAGTCAATGCTAAACTTGACCCTCAAGCAGTGAACAATTGAGTTCTTTGTTTCGATGCATTGGTTGGGTTGTCTTGCTGAGAATTTCTCTAGGCTGGAAATAGTCAATGGTGAATTAATGCTTCATTTGTTTCAACCAGTAGGAGGTGCTTAGGAGAAGTTGGGTTTAGAAGTTAGTAGGAAAAGTTGGATATAATGAAAAGGCTTATCTCAACCATTATAAACTTCAAAATCAGAGTTGGGTATGTATTACTTTACACCCAAGCCAGTCCATATGAATCGAAATTCACAGCTATGTCCAAGATACTGTGAATATTCTTTTGACATTCTGACATGCTCCCATCTTATATGTTATCTTGCTCAATTCTATACCAGATACTAATCGTATCAACCTTTAAAGGGGCCGGTGAGGAATTTTTTGGTGGTGAACCTAGTCAAACAGTCGATCGTGCTAACCCAATTCGACAGTCAATTTATTTTCTGGAGGCAACATTAACCGTGACAACTGACAACTAGCATAGTTTGTAGTTCTCCAAGTATCAGTGCCTGATCAAATTTTATTTCTGTTAAGATGGTCGCCTTCTTTCTTTATCTCTTTGTTATTTCTATTCGATGAAATGGGATGACCACCTTTCAGTAGGTATGAAGTTAGAAAACTGATCAAATGGGCCACAGGGCTAGTCCATTGTGTTTGACATGACAAATTAGTTGTGGTGGTGTTAATTTATAGTAAGCAAGCTGGATCCCCACAGCCGCACCATCCTGGACGAGTGACTCTTTCTTGTCTTCTTTATATTCTTCTTGCTTGTTTAGTTTGTTTCTTTTTGTAGTTTTCTGAGATCGCTTTCTCTGTTTGTGACTTTATAAAAGAAATCCACATTTGCTTTACTGGTGCTTACTTTTGAATTGAAAAGGTTGGAAATTTGTCAACCTAAAGAAAGGAGTTTGGGGACTCAACATGCCTTTTTGCCTTTCGAGTTCTAGTAACTTTTTGTGTTATCTGCTTTGTTTGACCTTTTACCAAATGAGCTCTGTCAAAATGGATAAAGATGATAAAATCAGTATTTCTACAGTTCTACTAGATTTTTCTGGTCGTTAAATTTTCATCGTCTTTCTGCGTGTTTTATACTTCAATTCATTCATCAATCTCTCATTTTCTGACATTGTATTGTGCAGTGCTCTCACCAAGAAAGCACCTCCCTTACACTGCAGTAGAGCTTTCAATTGATTTCAAGTTTTGTGTTTATTCTTGCAGGTTTTAATGCAATTTTTTTTTTTCTTGCAGGATGTACAATATGAACCCGTTGAATCGCACTATCAAGCAAAGCCTTTTATAGCAAGGTTAGTCTCAATTCTTGTTGGATATCCTCACTGAAGTTTGGGACACATGAATGATATGTATTTCTGGTTCAGAAGGGAGTCACCTTGGAAGGTAGATGGTGAGTCAAATGGGGTCTCCTCCAAATTAAAATCACTTGAACAAGAACTTCTGAATCTGGAAAAGGTTGGAAAGGGTGATCTACTAAAGGTCCCATCACTTCTTAGGAAGCAGACTAAGAGATACCAAGCTCTTGCTGGAAAGATTGATGATCTCTGCAGAAGAATGGTAATGCATCTATTGTTATTGCCACTAGCATTTCCTTAACATATTATGTTACTCCACTTGGCATGATGCAGTTGCTCCCATCTTGTCAACCGTAGATTCTTATAATATGTGTTATGCTAAGAACCCTAAATCCCCCCTTCTACAGCAAACTAGCGATCCTTGTGAACCCACGCTGAGTCCTGAGTTCCGCACACAAAGGCAGACAGAGTTTTTGCTGGAAGCATTTCGGTTTCAGCAGCGTGCATCCGAAACAGGACAGAAGCTAATGGCACTCCAAACAGAGATCGGGAAGAGTGGTGAGGACGACAATGATTTAGGAAGGCAGCAGCAGCAGTACTCGAAACTCGCAATGAGAAGTTCCTTGAGCTCCATTAGAAACAACTTGAAGGAAGTTCAGAGGAATCTTGAGATCTGGTTGGCAAGGATCATCGGTGACCTGGAAGGGATTCTTGCGAGAGATGGGGCTTCGCGCGTTAGAGATTACTATGGTGCTCGGTATCCCTTTGCTCAGTAGGCATTCCCTTAACTAAGTGCTAGTAGTGATATCATCAGATGCCTGATCTAATTAGCCGAGCTTTTTGTACATTAGCTCAGTTGGTAAATATGATGCTGATATTAGAGGCGTATTTGGTACTGACCAGTATGTAGTGTTACTTGGCTGAATGAAGTCCATTTTCATTTTTTCTTTTCCTTTTCAATAAGTTTGATAATGGTGGTCACATGTTATGCTACGTCTAATTGAGGAGAGCTTTTGCTAAGGTTTTCAAATTTCTGAATATTTTGTTGATCGATTCGAATTATATTTCGCTCTAACTAAAAAACTATGTTAAGTAGCTCAAACTAAAAAGAGGGTCTTGAACCCGTGCCAAAGAATAAGGGTAAATGCCACATTTGGTCATTGAGATTACTAAATCGTGTCATGTTTAGTCACTAGAAAAATTTAATAGCAATTTTGGTCACTCGAATTACTGAAACAAGTCACATTTAGTCACTCTCCCGTTAGTTTCTGTCCAACTTCATTAATAGAGTTGGACGGAAACTATCGGGAGAGTGACTAAATGTGACCTGTTTCAGTAATTCGAATGACTAAATATGACACGTTTCAGTAATTCGAGTGACCGGAGTTGGACGGAGGCTAATGGGAGAGTGACTAAATGTAACCTGTTTCAGTAATTCGAGTGACCAAAATCGATATTAAATTTTTCTAGTGACTAAACATGACACGATTTTGTAATCTCAGTGACCAAATATGGCATTTACCCCAAAGAATAATCTACCAATTCACACCGATATGATTTGATTAAATGCCTATGGCACATCATCCTGAATGCAGAAAACTAAATTTCAAAACTTGTAATGTGCAACAACTTTCTTCTTCATCTTTATGTTAACTTGGCTCACCCATTAAAAAAAGAATAATTTTATCTATTTAAAAACAGCGAGAAAGAAATATAGTGAAAGTAAGGAACTAAGAGCTCTTTGCTTGTAGGATTTTGATAAGGTGTTTTGTCTCAAAATCCCACATATGATGAATTATGTCTTAAATTCATGTTTGTTGACTAAAATGGCCTAAATCTGTGGGGCCATAAATGTGGAATTATTTTTGGCTCAAAATCCGTGGACCCCACGGGTTATAAAATTCCACCTTATGAGCTAGAATTTTGAGAGAAGCCAAAATCTATGGACGCCACTAATGATGAAATGACCAAAGTATCCTTCACTAAAATATAAAAATACTTTATTAATGATATGAATAAGGATATGATGATAAATTCATCATGTAACCCATAAATCCATTATACTATAATCCATTTTGAAATCCAACAAATAAACATGCAATTTCTAAAATCTAACACAAATCCAAAATAAACAAAATTCAACATAATCATTTACTCTCAAAAGTCAAGATTTTATCCAAATTGCTCCCTTTATAAAATCCAACAAGCAAACCATCCCAAAAAGCCGTTCGTGGGCTTTGCACATTGTGGCCTGTGTGGGGATTGGAGCTGGGAAGGGAATCGACTATCGAGGAACAAGCCGAGAAGAAAGAGGGAGGAAGAGTTTGCGACGAGATGACTCGAGGAAAGCAAAAGATAGAAGCGCAGCGGAAGAACGCAGAGAAGAATCAGAAATCCAAAGGTTCTCAGTTTGAGGCCAGAGTCGTTGCTCTCAAAGTTACATGCCCCATCTGTAAGGTACGCCATTTGATCGACTGATGTACCTTTTTCTTTCCCTGCTGATGCTGAGAATTTTGAGCGCTTGTCCGATCGTAGTCGGCACTTCCCGATCCTAGGCCGTTTAAGTTTTTTTTCCCTCGAATTCCTTCCGGTGGTGGATACAACGTCATTGTTATTGATCTGCTTCTGTGGGCGCCTCCGAGTCGGTCTTTCTTCACGATCGTATTTCTCAAAGTCGCGGATTGTCGCCTCCGGCAGACGTTAGGTATGACTTGGATCCCATGATATTGGAATAGTGCTCATTGTAGGGATTGAGATGAGCGTACGAAACTATTCATCTTTGTGATTCCGTGAATGGGATAGACGTGATACTCCTCAGAAACGAAGCTTCACTCGTAGAATTCAAGCCCCTGGCATTCTGCTTGTTTTAGGAATCAAATTCTGGATTAAAAAAAAAAACCTTGTGAATTGTGCTTGGGCTTTATTTACATTGGTTATTAAAGGAGCGAACTTCTTGCTTGCACTTCCCCCCGTCTTATTGGATTTGGAGCAGCTCAGACATAAGTTTCTGCTTGTGGATCAGTCGTCTATTAGTAGTTTAGTACCTCAATAAGTTTTTACTGTCAGTAGTTGAGGGTTGTAGATTTGATGTAGAAAGTACCTCAAGTCTGGATAGGGAACTTGATTGGCCTTTTGTAGCGAAACCCAAAATTGACAGTACCATAGCATGGCTGAACACCATGAACATCAACTCTAACCTCCCCCCCTTTGCCCTCTTCCTTTTGCCCTAAGTTGTGTAACAACTTCTACATTATGCTGCAAATGACCATTGTGTAGAAACATGCTTATTCATGCTTCTGTATGGTCAGAAGTTATTAAATGAATCATGGGTATATGATTGTTGGACGGAAAGATAGTTGTTTACATTTTACATCAGCTCAGCTGTTTTCTTTCATGATTATGAAGATTTAAAAGCTGACTTGTAATGCTTACCAAATAATATTGAGGCAGAAATATTGTACCTGTGCGATCAAGTTGCTTTCTTATTCTATGGCCAAGTTTTTACGCTTCTAGGTCACCAAATGCTTCTGCGTAGAATCACGATTTTGACTGCATTGGTTTATAGTACCTTGTTGCTTGAGAATAATTTTATGAAAATGATGGATTTTTGTCCTCCTCCTGTCACGCTATTTCCTCTCTAACATTGACGAAGGTAGTAAACCATTTAATCATCGATCTAACTAGTATTTTATGAGAGTGTCACAAACTGAAACTAACGGTTCAACGTTGTATCAGCTTCTTAGTCTACATCTTCCAGAAACACTTCAGATATTGAGTATTATCTACATTTACTGATTGTTTTGCTTACTCTCATCTAGAACACATGTCATACGTTATACGACAGCATAATCAATATCCATTTCTTCTCGGCTCATTATTGTGTGATGCTGTTGACTTGTGCAGGTACAACTAGCCAATCAAAATCAGCTTAGGGATCATTATGGGGCTAAACATCCAAAGGAGAACCCCCCTGCCGAATCAAGCTGAGTATGGTGTTACCTTGTGTAAAGATGTAAAACCTGAACCCCGCAATACACGTGCGGGATTAGATTGATACTTCTTTTATGTGCGAGCCTCAAGCGGTGGAAATGTGTGCTAAGTTATGTTTGGTGGCTTTTGTCGACTGAACTATGACTCTGCATATTTGTTGATCTTTCTCTCCCTGAAATGTTTCTGCAGTGAATGATGAACCAACTATGTATCACAAATCCAGTAGTCATGTTTGTGTTGCTGGCTGTCTAGGCTTCTGTTTTCTGAGTTTCGGTTGTTGTGTCTAACCAGTTTCGATTGATGTGTCTATGCATCGTGTAACTGAGTTGCAATTGACTTCTATCCAACATTTTGATATAGTTTGCCCTGCTAGCCTTTGAGGTCATCCAAGCTGGAGATGCGGCCAATCAGCTTAGGAGAAAACCTCACTTCTTCATTGAAGGACAAAATTGCTTATACGAGAGCTCCATACAAGAGAGGAACTGTGAAAGAGTGAAGGTAATTAGTGAGACAGTAAAGGAGGTGTACCTCCTTAAAACAGTCAATATCGTTATGGATCCGGGTATGCTAAGGCCGGGTGAAAGCAGGACTTATAACAAGGAAAAATGAAAATGAAAATTTTCTTTTAATTTCTCATAATCAATATTTTCATGGTTATAGGCCTCTTTAGACATATGTTTGATTGTTTGTTACTACCGTACTAGTTAATGTCAGCTAACATATTGTTACGGTGCAATGGTGGTTGATCGCCTCGTTTTTTTTACTATATGATAGGTGTTTAATTTCAGATTTTACTTACACTTTTTATTTATAAATCTCTTTATAGTAAAAACTAAACTTGTACACAAGGTTGTCAACCCGCGGGTCGACCCACTTTGACTCTGACCCGGTGAGAAAAACGGGCCGCACGCACCTGCCGGGCCGACCGCTACAAGGTACCGGGTTGAAGGTCAAATTGTGTCATTTTTTTCTTTGGTTTGCGAGATGCGCCTATTTTCCGATTTTTCTTTTCGCCTAGCTCAATTTTTGGAATGCTAATTGCTAAGTTGAACATTTGAATATTTATGCTATATAAGTGTGTGTGAATTTTCACTATATGTTGGATCTATATACGATATGTTATTTTGGTGTAATATTATATGTTATAACTCATATGTTAAATAAGATTTGATATAATTTATGAGGATAAGTACAATATAATGACTTTTTCCATATTTTCGGGCCAAACCGGGCTAAAACGGTTGACCCATTAATCCTTAACCCACTAGCTCGACCGGGTCCTGGTCAACCCGCAGGTTGACAACCTTGCTTGTACATTTATATTATGGTAGAAGTGCTACGGCTGAATCTTGTACACTCCTATGTACAAACATGAAACAACAAAGTAATTCCAAAATGGTTTGGTAAAAATTTCTATACCGTTTCCGTGTCCGTGGCACTGAAGGCTGAGGGGGAAACTCTCTCTCTCTCTCTCTCAAGTATATTTAATGGTATGAACTCATTCATCTTGCCGTGAATATATATTTCCGAAGTCTCCTGGTCTGGTTCTCTTGTCTTTCGTTTCTCGATTGACTCGATAGGCATAAGATTTAAGAAAGGAGGTAGAGGAAATCCGAAGCAACCTGCTAATACGATGAAGAGAGAGCGGCCGAAGGATCGTAGCGGCGAGCTCGCCTTCAAGCCGAAGAAGCCACAGACTGCGCCTTCCGTGGACGAAGAATTATTATTTCCCTTCTTACCGGAACACATCGTCACCGAGATTTTGGTTAGACTGCCGCCGAAATCTCTGCTACGCTTCAGGTGCCTGTCTCATCACCATTCCAATCTGATTCAATCCCCTAATTTTGTTGCCGCCCACGCCGGCCATGCTCACCGCAATCGTACCGGTCTTTTGGTCTATGCCAATTCTCAATCGGGGAAGGATGTGGTTTCGTTTATACCCTCCAAATTAGAAGGATCAGGAGGAACAATTAATGGGTTGGTATCGGCCTTTCCCTTGCCTTTCTTGAAGAAGAAGGGTTATGGCGTGGGGAAGAGTACCAGTTTTCAATGTGCCGGATCCTTCAACGGCTTAGTCTGTTTCATCCTCGACACACGAGGATACTGGGTGCTGTGGAATCCAGCCACGGACCAGTTCTGCTTTGACGTTAGCCAGCCGGAAAAGAATCTTCCTCGCAATCACACGATTGCTGGATTTGGTTACGATTCTGCAGCCAGCGAATACAAGTCGGTTAGAGTTTCGTGCAACCATGGTGGTGGAGCTCAAGTAGAGGTTCTAAACTGGGCTGAAAGGCATTGGACAGAAATCCAAGACGAGAGCTTCCACGCCATCTTTACTGCTACTGAGTACCGGGAGCCACACTTTCACAAACCTCCAGTCACAACCAACAACGGGAGAGTGCATTGGATGGAGAGCAGTTCTGGTATGGTGCTTTCCTTCAAACCACACGATGAGAAGTTCGAGTGGGTGTCAACTCCCGAAGCATCACTTCCATGGTCTATCCAGAGGAGCATCTGTGCTTGGAAAGGATCATTGGCTATGCTTGTACAACATGAAATTCAGCAAGACTCGTTGCTTAGTCTTTGGTTGTACAATGATGGAGGAGGAGGAGAATTATCATCATCATCATGGTCTACCTTATTCACCATCTCCACCATGGGTCCGCCTTGCATGCCGGAGGCCATATGGAGAGTCGACGCCCAAAGTTCATTCTTACTCTATATCAACGGCAGTGCCTGCAATTACAACAATGGGAAGAGATTGAAGCTTCCATATGTTTGTATTTATAGAGCCTTTGAGTTTGCACAAACCTTGGTTCCCATCCCTGGCTGCAGTTGAAGAAGTTGGAGGCTTGTTGCTTTATCTCGGCTTTCTCCCTCTTGTAAGCATAGTTCCACACAGTTTTTGTTGTCACTGTATATGACAGTTAATGTTAATGATTTCCCAACATTAAGATGGCTTACTACTATATATCATTTGCTTGCTTTCTGTTGTGGTTGATTTCTTGATGTACTCGCTCAGTCACAACCAGCATTTATTTACCACAAAACGAGACCAAGTCCTTCTATCAATGAAGTTCTGCAATCAACCTTTACTGTTAACCCAAATCACCATTTGCTGAACACGGTAAATAATGACTGCAATGAGTCTATGAAATTTGTTCAGAAGGAACTAGGATCCTTTGAATCAACAAGCTGAAATTTCAAGTTATAGAGAAGATGGGTAATCTTTAGAACTTGAAGAGAGAACGAAACTGAAACTTAATAGTTTCCAAACTAAAAAAGAACCTAGAGCATCAAGTGTAGAGCTCGGAATCAAAAGGATAATCTTTGATCGGGGTTATCCTCAAATGCTTATCTTCGACTCCGGCTGATGAACTCAGGTCAAATCCATGCAATACATTCTTCTGCAATAGTGACCTAACCTGAGCTACAACTGAACTGCCATGGTCGGGCCATGAAACACACAGAGTTCCTCTGATGTTCCTCATCTGGCATTGACTCAATAGTGCAGCTGCCAAGCCATCAACCATGCTACCAGATGGAAAGTAGTCTAGTCCCTCCAGTAAAGATGAAGCTCCACTATCTGATCCTTTTCCTCTCTCTGCTAATGTCTCCAGCTTGAATGCATAAGTCTCATCTGGTGATAGCTTCCCACGGAAATTCTGGCTCTGAACTGAACCCAAAACCAGAACCTTCTCGGGGATGATTTGCTTACCAACAAGCAGTTTTGCAACTATGTTGGACCTCTCAGCACTCACAGGACACTTGAGGGACACAAGCAGAGTCAAATTTGCAGCACCGTTGAGCTCGTAGATATTGCAGCACTTGTCGGCAGGAGTTGGTTCGATAGAGTTTCCTGAGAAAGGGATCTCTGGTAGTATGAGGCTTCCAATCAGAGTCTTGGTGCACAGATTATCGAAGAGATACAAAGATGGAGGCGATATTGCAATGATCAAAAGAGATGGGCGGAGTGGTTCAGTTTTAGGGTCAGAGAACAAGAGAAAAGGAGAAGGAAGAGGCTGTGAAGGAGGTGCAAAGTTATTGAGATCTTCCTGGAAGAATCTTGAAGGCGGTGGGATTTCTGTAATGACATCTTCCATGTCTCTAGAGAACCTGTTGTGGAAAACAAAAAATCATCATTTCTCCGGTTACTTTGCATGCTGCTTCGCTTACAACTTGAACATGTAGTGATAGTTAAGTTATTTCACATCTGCAGACTTCGAATGCACCAAATGTCAAAACAGCACAGCTAACCCTTCTAAGCAGCCCTGAATTATCCCAACCAAAGTAAATTCGTGTTCTTGCGTTCTGTAACTACTAAATTCAGAAACAAAATTAGACAAAAGTTGGCATACACAAATGCAATTTGACAAACAGGATCTGCACAGTCTGCCCGTAGAGGGATCCCAAATAAAAGTTGATCAGGGTACACTTCTAAACCTGGCTCATTCGGTTATTCACATAAGAAATCAGACAAAAACTACACGACAAGGTGCACATGGAAGAAGGTAGCGGTTCACCGGAAGCTAAGAAGAAAACGAAGAGGGAGAATCAGGGGAAGCTTACTTGGGGTTTGGTGTTCGCGGGGTGGCAGTGGCGGTGGCTGATTGAGATAGACGCGAATCAGAGGGGAAGACTCGGTGGCGGTGGGTGGTTAAGAAAGGCGGTGGCGGTGATCGGGTGCGACAGGCGGCGGCAGAGGGTCGGACGTCGGAGGTTGCTAGGTTATGGATTCCGGTGGGGAAGACTCGTCCGGTTCCTTGGGCGTAGGGGAAGGACGGAGGAGGGTTTGTTGTCTTTGCGATAGGCTAAAGAATTTGGGCCTAGCAATTTAATTCCGGCCCAAATGAAGAACTTTCGCCGGCCAGTACTTTTTCCTTTTTCCTAACCGGCCAGTTTAATTTTATGCGTAGATTTTTCAGAAAATTAAAGTTATAGATCGAATTTTGCATTGATATAAATCATATAATAATAAAAAAGGCCCTGGGTTACTATACAAATCCAGGGGGTTATAAAACCTTAAAAAAAGTATCTTAAACCTCTTATACAAATAATATTATTTTCTAATATGATCGTATCATAGTATTGTTTTCCGGCGAGGAAAAACTGGTGTTTGAACACAATCAATGCACCTTTGACTTCTTTGACAACGATAATTACACGGTCCACTCCTCTCCGAACAATGTTCGAACGAGGGTGTTTGATGTTTTGATGGTTTTTTTTTGGGAACAAGCTACGTTACTCTACTCCTATGGAGGTTCAGTGAGAGCTCCGAAAACTAAAAGGCAAGTTGCAGGGAAAAGATAAATTTTGACATAGTGTGTCAAATGATTGGTTGTGGAACCACTGTCTCTGTCGACCCCTCCTCTTATTTATAGCCACGAGGAGGTAACCGCCATAGAATACCGCTTGTTGGATAACTGCTACAAAGAACCGCTCCTCCTTCTTCGGTAGTAAACCGCCTCTTGGACAACTCCCAAAAAGAACCGATCCTTGCTTCCTCGGAGTGGTGGTTACTCCTTCAACCACCTAGGTGCCTCTCTTGGAACCGTCGTGGGTTTTGGAGTGTAGCTTGCCTCGCCTGGTCTTGTTCTGAATCTCGTGTCATGCTAGTCTTTTGACGAGCATGTAGTGTCTCGCAAAGGGGGTCGTGGTCTTCTTGCTTCGCGGCCATGGACTTCTTACTCATGTTCATGGCCTTCTTGTCTCGCGGCCATGGACTTCTTACTCATGTCCTTGGCCTTCTCGTGAGGCGGCATGGCCTTCTCAGACTTAGTATATTTTGGATCATGAGGCGACATGGCCTCCTCACTCGCGGCCATGGACTTCTCATTCATGTCTGTGGCCCTTTCCGTTGGATGGCATTGGCCTCCTCCTACTTAGTATTTTTCACGTGCCCAGGTCCTCTTGTCTCGTGTCCATGGCCGTCACATATGACACGGCCATGGACCTCTTAATCACCCACATGGCCCTATATTCTCATACTTAGAATATTTTTTTTGCGTCTATGCCCCTTCTCGTGAAGTGGCACGTGCTTCTCCTTGAAGTGGCATGTACCTCTTCCAGACTTAGTTTATTTTTAGTCATTAGGCCTTGGTCATGGGGCAGCATGGCCTCTTCGTTGAGGCGGCATGGCCTCTCTTTAGACTTAGTAGCTTGGGCCTAAAATCAATATCCATAAGGCCCAACTGAAACAACATTAATTGTTATAATGGGTGTGGCCTTATAAACTCATTAATTATCTTGTAACTCACCAATGTGGTACAAGACAAATTTTATGGTGTAAACAAATGCCCCCCAACTACTTAGTGCATAAGGCTTATGGACTAAGTAGTTGAACACCACCATGCTAGTGAAAGTAACAAGCTGGCTAGTGTCTACTCAACACACCTAGTTCATCATTAGCCAAAAACTTGACTTTCACGTCAAGCCAACGTGGTAGGATGGTACTCGACGTCAAAACTTTGCCTCATGCCTTAGCCAAATTTTTGCTTTTAATGGTCAAGCCGCCTAATGCATTCAACGAGACACCAACTTCACTTTATCACCTACACCCCCATTGACATCTCGTACTTGGCCACATGGTTGAGAGAATAACTTAGAATTCTTCGCACCTATTTTGGCATAGATTGACTCATCCCACCTCGTCACAAGGCTAGACAGTTCCCTCGCGACAAGTCAAGCCGTCTACTTTTTTGTCTTAGAAAAAATAATGTTCATTTTTATGTTGGTAGAGACATTATGGTCACCACTCCTCGACTACCACTTTCAAGCCATCATGCCCCCAGCCGTGGCTACTCGGGACAAGATAACATGGCATGGCATGGCCTGATGTATGGCTCGTCGTGTCAAGCCATCACAATAACTTGGTGGCAAGATCTTCATGTCGAAGTCTAACAACTCCGATTCAAGATTTTCCTTCTATCTTTTCTTTTAGCCATGGCTGGCTACAATATATTTTTTTTATAACTAATATATAATAAGTACATTATATAAATTTATTTATTTTATATGGCAAGAAGTGACAAATGTCACTGCTCTCCATAGCCTTTGGCAACAATCAATGTACCAAAGGTGTACACCCATTGCCAAGTCCATGGATTAAAACATGCAAGCCATCCATATACCACATGCTTCTTTTCCTCCATGGAACATGATTCTCCATACATTAATTTTGAATCTTCTAGCTTACCAGTGGGTGGTATATGATCAGCATGTCTAGCCTTGGTGGCCTTGCATGGGGCCTCCTGCTCATATGCTTTAGCCACATCACTTGACATGTTAAGACGACCATGGGTTTTCCTCTG